TCAGGTGTCATTCATGGGGTATCTTACCAACTCTGAATGCCATAAAATCCTCTGCAGCAGCTGCGTTTTTCGGAGGGTTAGCAGGCTCACACGTAGCAGGCGTCCACAATAAAGACAACTTGGTCCTTCGTGTGGAGCAAGCTCACCCAAAAAACAGGCTGTCTGCCTTTATACAATCAACTGAGTAAGTCTACCTAGGCAGGTGTGGCCAGCACCTCCCCACCAGAGGTTCTCAGTCCCACCCCCTTGGTTATACAAGTTGCATCCCTTCAGCGCATGGGTGAGTACTTTGGAATTTCCCTTCCACCTGCGCAGTCTGCTTCGGGGGTCTTTTCTAATTGAGTACTTCATCCCCTCCTCTTCGGCTTCTCCTTCAAATGTCCTTGACAGATGACAAGCCAATCACAGAACACCATTTAATACAGTTTATATAAGAAGCTCTCTGTCCAAGGACAAAGTTCTCATTTTGTCAGTGAACTTGGCAGGAAAATACAAACTGATACAGGTGGCTGGGCCAAACACAGACCAAAAGTATCAGCATCCCTGATACAGTAACTCTCATTCTTTTTATAATCATCACCACTGTTACATACTATGCTAACTGTACAAATATTACTTAAGAAGTTTACATTTTAGAAATGAAAAACATGCGAATTTTTACCAAATTACTTACTTTGGTCTTGATAAACTGCAACACCAGAATGATAGCAAAAATGATTTTTTTTTTTTCCCCTAAAGAAAACAACCCAAAACTGAATAATTAGGGTACAGAGCTAAATGCTGTTAGTGCTGAAGTAACATTCTCAGGGGGAATTTTGCTTCCATTAGCAAGACCTGCAGCCAAATTCAGGGTTTTTTTAAGTGCATCTCGGTGCATAAATGACATGTCTTAGAAACTGCTGGACACAATGTATAGCATAGGCTTGATTTCTAAAGCATGTTTTTCGCAATACTTCTAATCTGTAATCCTTCTTCTAATATGTATTTGTAAAAGTACTGCTATGGTGAAATTTTCTTGACGTATTTAAAATGTGACCAAACAGACACTAAAAATCCAGGAACACCCAAAGACACTTGCATGCATCACTGTCAAGGTCTGCAATACATGAAACTTACTAAAATGTACTTGGTGATTTGCCTTCACTTTTTTATAGAGCACTTTTACAAGGATAACTAATTTTTTAATAAGTTTTTAATTTTGTCTACTTTCTATTGTTTGTATTAATCTTTTAGAAGTTTGGAAATAAAATTCCTATCACTACTGGCTTTGAACTCATTGTGTAATTGTAACAAAGAGCAGATACTGTAACAAGGAAGGTACTTGGATTTTGCAGTGGGAGGGGAGGCCTCAATCACTTTGCTTTTTTGGGAAGAGAAGGTTGCTGGTGGGTTTTTAGAAAATCTTATTAATAGAAAAATCCCATTTATAGCTATTTACCATTTCTGTGGCAAATAGTAACAATGTTATCAGGCTCACTTACACGTCTCGAAACTGTAAGGAAGAACTCTGCCCTCTGAGTATTTCATGTTCATGAATGTTATGGGGCAGCAGGTATCCTGCAGGCTTATGTCTTTGTCAAAAGATTTTCATGCTTGCTGTCCTGCAGAAAGATGCCAACATGAGAGCTGTAATACTACCAATATGTATTGTGCCTATAAATGCACATTTTCTTGAGAGAACCTCCTTCCTTAAGGGGTTTTCTTTGCTCTGGCTTCCTTTCACAGTAGGCTACTTGAATATGGCAGTTTTCTTCTAGTACTTGACACAGGTATGCACTGCTGAGGTCCAGAGAAAGCACGGTTAGTCTCACTTGCACAGGGGCAATCAGGGGTCAAAATGCTAAAGTCAAAGGTACTGATGAGCATATGCTTCAACAGGCCTGGGACAGCCATCACCTGGGTGCTGGCCACTCCCTCCCTGGCAAGCCTTTCCTATTTCTTTTACCTCCTGACATAAAATCTCCCCTCATTCTCACATCTGTTTCTCTCCCCACCCCCAACCCCCCCACTGTTGCACACACCTCCTGGCTTAGCTTGGGTTCTGGAGTGGCTGCTGAGCTGGCATAAGGAGTAGCCAAATCACAATGTGCAGCAGAGAGCTGCTGGACAGCCAGTCAGCTGCTATTGTCTCTTGGCTGCCCTGCCCAGTTCCACGTGGTCTCTTCTCAGCAGTTGCACCACAGTCAGCACACATAAGAGGAGCAGCACTGTGAGCACACTGCAGATCCTGGCTGCATCAATGTCTTGCACCAGTGGTGGGTAGAGAGACCCATGCAGCAGCTGTGAGATGGATTGGGAGCACTCCCCCACGATGTTCCTCTGAGCGTGGTGGTTATTCTTCAGACATGGATTCCAGCCTCTCCAGAGGAGTGTGGTTGCTGCACCCCTTTGCTCTCAGGGCAGTGTGCAGCTGAGCTGCTGAGTACAAGCAGAGAGAGGATTAACAGCAATGCCACCTCTGCCTTCCCAGGCCATGTGCTGTGACAAAAGCTGAGTGTCAGAATGAGCTCCAGAGTGGGATTGGTTGGCATTGAGGCTCTTGTGTTTGTGTTGGGAATCAGTGTGATGAAGTATGCCACTGCTGGTCATTTTGTGCTGGGTAGATGAGGCAGCATCTTAGCAGCCCAGCTTTTGCAGGTCCCCTTTTCTAGGTGTAACCAAGGAACCTGACAAATGAGCCTGGGCAGCTGTCTGCTTCTGTAGGTAGCAGAACAGGTTGTCTCTTACCTACCCAGTCTACAGGACAGCTGCAGGTGTACCTCGGTTTGCATTACTGTGCTGAACTCAACACTGCGATGCCTTAGACCAGGACAAGCACTGCATTTTGCTGCCTCTGCTTTAACAGGTTTAATCTGCAGTGGGGTGGAGAGCTGTGGGCAGCATCTTAGCTCCCTTCACAGGCTTTACCAAAGCCCATCCAAGAGGGCTGTCTGCTGCACAGAGGTCTTCACACCATCTGATGGCAACAGGTTCCACAGGATGCCCACAGTAAAGCACACTGTGAGTGCACACATCTGTACACTAAGTGCCTCACATGAACCACAAGCCCCTCTTTGCTCACTGTCCTCTCCCTCAGTCTATCAGCGAGACACCTCCACGTGCCACCTGCCTGGTCATGAAAAGTTTACAAACTTGTTCCAGGAATGAAATGTCCCTAAGGGCTGATGGAGGACTGGCGATTAGGTTCTGTATTGCACGTTTTTGTGTAAGAATTAGTTGCTTTCTAATTCTTAGTTATAGATACTTCGGGGGGGCGGGGGGGAACGTGTGGGGAAACACATCTTTGTAGTGCCATAGTAATTGTACTCCACATTAAACTGACGAGGGGGAAGAATGTCATATTTGATAAATTTGTCAATGTGGCCATATCTGTAAGAAATTGAGATTTGTCATAAACAAATACAGTAAAGCAATCAGTCATTGCAAACATTTTTCCTTATTTTCTACTACATTGCCCTTAAATTAACTGTACACTGACATTTTTTCTACCTAATGAAACTTAATGCAGACAGCACTTGAATTTTCTTATTTAATGTAGACAACATGTCTTTGTTTTCAAAGTAACCTATAGATTATCTAAGCTACCCTTTCACAACTGTTCATGTTAAAGTTCTGGTGTCAGCCTTTGCCAGTGGGAAAGGAAGCCATAAATACATAGCTTGGCACTGGCAGCTATAATTTTCTCCAGCTGTGGTCTTCTGTGAGTGAGACTTTGTAGAGCTGCACTTTAAAAGAAGAGATTCCTGGTTCTTGCAAATTGGGAGGTAATTTTAAAAAACAGAGTCAGACCCATGATGCAAAAGACAGAAAATGGTTAGGTCAGATGACCACAAAAATGGGCCAGAAATAGTAAGCAAACTGCAATTTTTATGTAAGTCTTCATCTTATTCAGGGAAACACTGGCTTGGTTGCAATTTTACTAGAAATCTTTTTATATTATCACCTGTGAAAGGTATTTTCTAAAGTCTTGCAAATAATCTGGGTACAAATAATTTGGGGATATTACTGTGAACTAAAATTGTGATTAGTGCTGTCATCATAGCTTTTAAGAATTCAGTTAAAAATCAGCAATCTGTTTTCTCTGAGACACCAAATCTTTCTCCCCTAAGTCCTTTTTTCATTTATCCATACAGTGAATATGTGCTTAATGTCAAATAAGCATTTAACTGCAAGCATAAACCATAAATATAGTGGGTTTTTATTTTCTTTATTACTCCCCCCCACACACACACTTTCTGTTACTGCATCAAACTTAAAAAGGTTTGTGGGTTTGAAACCTGAATCATCTCAGCTGAAGGTCACTGATCAGACAGAGACATCCTGGAGCTGGCAGGCACGCCTGTGCAAACTGTGTATGCATTCCTGCAGCAGAATGCAGCTACTGTCTACCACTGCTCCCATACATATTTCCAGTTTTGTTGCCAAATCCTTTGATGGAAAGGAGGGTTTGGACACTATTCTGTGCTCTTCTGTAGCTCACAGTTCAGATGGCTTTTTTTCCTTCTCTCTCACCCCTTCTAGTTGTAGCCTACAGTATCTGGAACTGCCTCCCAGATGACTCTCAGCTCCCTACTTGCCAATGCATTCCAGAAGGCTCAAAACCATAGATGACAACAAATAGCCTCCACCAGGTTATGCAGAAAGTGAGGGTCACAGCACAGTTCCCTGAATCAAATCTATGAGCATGCTAAATTTCAACACATCCTTCAAATGCTGTCCATAAAACATACAGGTTTTTCCTGTAGTTTAAGTTGTGATTAAAAAAGTTCAGGAACTTATCACATGCTTCTTAAAGGAGCTGGCAGAAGAAAGAAGTGGATCCGAACCCAAGGGACAACTATAAGGGGTCACAGATCTAGGTGCAAGAAATTTCTTGAGACTTTCTGAGAAGCCTGGAGATTCTGGCAGATCCAACCCATTTTTACATTTGAAAAGCTGCATGCTCAGGGAGTAAACACAGGTGAATTGAAAACACCAGGAGCTTCAGCATCTGTTTTTTTCCATTCATATTTTATTTTTTATGTGAAGAGTGATAAAGTACCTTTATACCACCCCTGAGAACAAACAAAGAAGCAGTAATTCTCAAGCTTCAAGGAACTAGTTTGTTTAGTAAAACTTTAAAAACATACAAAAGAATCCTGAACTAGTAAGGATTCCCAAACCCTAATTTCTTTCTAAAAATTAACAACAATGAAAATTAATCTATTTTCCTTCAAAGACTTCAGGAATTTAAAAAAATAAATGTAATATGCAAATCCCCATTCCATTCAAAAGAATTTAAGACGTGTTTGTCCGTCATTTCTTCCAGGAACTCTTTCATATGTCAGTCTCCTCTTTTTGAACTCTGGTATTTCTGGAAATCCTGAATCTGGAAAAGAAGTAGAGGAGAAAAAAAGTCCCATGTCAAACTACAAATACAACACATAACTTAACTATGTGTTTCATACGTGTTCGACTTAACTTCAGCAGACTTAACTGTGTTTTTCAGAAGCACTAACAGACTCCAGCTTTAACTAGCACCCTTTCTATGAAAAGTATCAAATGCCATAAAATAAAATACATACAGATTAATATTAACTACTATTTACTGCTACTGAACAATTTTATGCATATCATCCCATAATAAGAATATATTCATATATAGTATGTATAAAGACTTTATACAAAAATAAATAAATCAACCTACACTATGCTTAACAACAATATTTCAGAAAAGATTTTAATGCTTATTTCTATTTCATTAATATTACACTCAGTATATTCAGTAATTGTTGAAAGTGAATTCTTTTTAACCATTTATGTTCATGTTTCTAAGTTGTTTAAAAAAGCTACTTACATTCATAATATTCAAGTTCTTTTACAATAAAGTATTTGAGAAGTTGCTTATACAAAACAAGTTACTGTAAGAAAATTCTGTTTGGTCTTCACAAAAAGTACTGTCAGAAAACTCTAACAGTGACCTAAGGATTTAATCTGTTCCAGTAGAAATACTGGCTTGACATGGTGTCATTAATTGTCTGTGGTTTAATGAGAGCTTGATTCAAAGCCTAAAGAAATCCCTGGGACATGTATCTTTTTAACTTGACTCTTTACATATTTCTTAAATGTGGGATTTTTTTTTTTTTTTTTGTGATAGCATGCAAAACTATTTAGTATGCTTATTTTTCCCCTGGTTAGTGAACTATAAAGCAGAATAAGCCTATTCTTCCAAAATCTAAATGAAAAATCACTTTTTTTTTTTTTAATTTTTTTTTTTTAATTACCTTTGCCTTACTGGGCAAGAATATTACAGAAGGCTTATCAGTTGGAGATCACAGTGCTTTCAGAATACTGTAAAATGTGGTATCAGAAGAATCTGCCCTGATCTCTACTGAAAATACTGTATTTACTATTTTATGCTATCAATGCCAGTTACAGGTTACTGAAATACTTGTTAACTACTCAGCAATGCTACAGGTCTCAATTTTAATCCCAAAGGAGAGGCAACAGGTCTGTTCAGAGTTTCTGTGTGAAAATTTACATTTACATAGGCTGAATATTAAAAGTTCACCATATCCAATTAACTTTTCCTTTCTTTACTGTCATAATTACCTTAAGCAGTCCATGAAACAGAGTAATTTAAATTAGTTGCTTACAGTTTCATGAATGAATCTGACCTAATTAGTGAAAATATTTTAATGCTGTGGTGACCTTCATATTCCACCAAAAGATTTAATGACAGGCAGCAACAGAGAAATCATAATTAAGTCATCTGTACTAGGAGTTAGGCACTTTATTTAACAAGCTTAACCTTAGATTTTTAAAAGCATGTGGCACCCCACCTACGGGGAAGCAGAGGAATTTGAAAAAATACTACAATAAATGATATAGCAATACATAGTCTGACAGGGACTAGTGATACTTTCTTACTTGTAAGACTCCATGGCTACATATTATGGCTTATCAAAAAAGGTTTCAAGCTAACTATATTCGAGAAAGTGAACAAGGGATAAGAAAACTATGGAAAATTAATTTTTTGTATAAGGACGGCACATTCTTCCGGAGTAAACAAAGTTTTGAAGTACACACTATACTGAAGAAATATGCTTTGGAATGATTTCAAGTGGAGAGTTTAGCCCTGGAGAAATTAGCTAAAAAAGTATTGCAAGAATAAGGGAACTGAATAAAACAAACTTAGAAAATTTTCAGAGTGCCATTTTTACTCCATTAGCATCAAGAGCAAAACACAGCCATCAGCAGTATCTGAATTTCACTCCTTGAATTTGCCAAATCTCTTTTTTTTCCTATAGAGTCTATATACTTTAGAGTCTCTTGTTCACCCTTTTGTCCAAATCTATGTTTACAAAAGAATCTTTCCCATAACTTTAAAAATAATTCTGGAATGTTCATTATCCATATTTCAGGCACTGTCAAAGAGAGAAGAATCTGAATCTTACAATACTGGAGAACTACACTTTTCAATATTTTACCAAGGGAAAAAACCAGCAGTAACACAATTCTAGTTTGTTGGGTTTGTTTGTTTGTACTTTTTTTTCTCAAATATTCTTTATGCTCAAAACAGAACCTCTTTAGGAACCTTTTATCACAGAAGAAATACATATCCAAGTAAGTTTTAGCAAAGGAAACATGTAACTGTTGGGTTGGATTGGTTTTAACAACTATTTGAAGAAAATAGAAAGGACAGTCTTATTAATACTCCTTACAACTTTCCAGTTGACTTACAAACAGAATTTCAGCAAATTCTGCTTGCTTTGGACATACCTGTTTTATTTTTTTCTTTTGTCCATAAGAATGGAGGCCTTTTTTTTCTCTTTCCTTTAGATTCTCTACCCAGTTGGTTAAAATTCAGATTTTGAAGCTCATCCGTGTCAACAAAGAAGTCAGAGAGGAAACCATCACACGCAAATGAATTACATGGGCCTGTGGATGAAGAGTCATTCCATGGGGCCTGGTCAACCTGAATTTCAGGGATTTTAAATGTATCTCTAAATTCTTCTAGAAAACTCTTAGAGCTTTCCTGAGGTTCACAGACATCGAAAGTTGCAAAGAAATCCTCTTTTTCAGAGTCTTTAGAAGAAGGATCAGAGCCATCCTGTATCCTGAACGGCTGTCTTTGAACATGAAGAGAATTTGTAACATCTAGATGGGCAAAATCTTCACAGTCCTTTGATACAGCAAAGAAATTCTGCTTCCTCCTTGTAATTACATTTGAAGAACATGCATTCTTTTGCATACAGCTTGGAAGATCAGACTTAAAAAAACTCTTACAATGATTCAATGGAGGAATTAAGGCTTCAGAATCCATATGAGATGTTCCTGGTAGAGAAAAATTTGAAGCATTTTGTTTGGAGAATGAAAAATTAGCTTATTTCTCTACATTTTACAGGAAATCAAGATGCCATTGAGTATTCTGATTGCAGTCTGTCTCCTTAGAATAACTGGCCTTACCATGCTTAGAAGACAAAGATTCTAATGCACTCAGATTTTTCACTTGGTTTCAAAGGAAACATTTTTCTAGCAATTCAAGATATTACCTGTGCTGTTTAGGGCCTTATCAAGCAGCTCTAAAGCCTGATTTTGCTTATAATCAGGACAGATTTTGTTGAGGTCATTCCGGTTTTCTGGCTGTGATGCACCTTGCACTGTTTTTTCTAGTGGACCAGCATTTAGGTTGCATGAAGACATTATGTCACTAAAATGCTGAAACAATGAGGAATAGATAATTGAGGAATATTTATAATACCTGTCTACATCTGTCAAATATGAAAAGTTAAACCAGTTGTTAAGATCCTAAGATGTATCAGCTTTTGTTTATTGGAACCAATACAGGAGAGGCATGTACAGTAGACAATGTGACACTGCCTTAAATCTATAAACAGGGTAAGTAACAGTCTCTGTTTCGAAACACAGGAAAACCAGTGTCTTAGTGTAGTTTATTCTCTTTCATTAGGCCAGGACTGTAAGAAGCAATGTCTGCAATGGATTGGCTCCTATCATACATCATAGAGGAATTTAACTGAGATCTTTTTCTGGTTTGTTTGTTTGGGGTTTTTTTCAGTCAATAAACATGGCTTTACATATATAGAGTTATTACAACAATAATTCCATATTCAGTGTCCAAATATCTGTTCACTTGCTCCTTCACCTTAATTGAATGCTTCACCTTAAATAAACAGTGTCCCCCATCATTTTCTTGAATAATAAAATAAGTGCATTTTTTATCTAATTAGCTGACTATAATCAGTCTATATTTTTCCCAAACTTGGCCCAGCTGAAACAGCAGGAGCACATAATTCTTCATCTTAACATTCAGGGCTCTGTCAACTGCTTAGCTCTATGAATTTGTAAGTGGTAGTTTTGTTACTGTGTAAAAGAGAGGGAGGGAGAGAGGGAATTTTTAACAACATTTTACACATGAATGACATGCTAAAGTGTATAATTCATTTTTAAATGATACCAGGAAATGTGCATGTATTATCAGATTAAAAAAACCCCAAACAACCACATATTACAACAGTGCAAAAAAGATTGATCTAATACATAAAATAATTTTGGCCAACCTTTAAAACTTTTTTTGGAACCTCTGGTAGAAGTTCCTGCAGTTGATCACAGCTTGCAAGAAACAACCTGTTCAGTGAAGATCCTTTCTTTAACATAAACTGAGCAACCAGAGGGTTGATACATGGAAAAGTAAGCAGGCATTTCTCTGTCTGGAAATGGAAATTATTTTGTTAGATTGATATGTGACAAAATGTTTATCTATTTTTTTTCTGTTTCTGCAAAATCACATTTTTATGAATAGGTCATACAGTGTATCATAGAAATAGAGCTTTCAAACTGTGAACTTTTACAGTCCAATTACAACTGCCTTTTTTTACCACAAAAGTAACAGAGTATCATTTCTGAAACAGAGTAAGTTCTGTATAACAGTTTGACAAAAAGCAAGCACAGTCTGAAGACAATTATTTTCTGAAGGATAAAACCAGGGAATCATGTAAACTTGACTTGAAAATGCATTACCAGATTTACCATTAATTCTCCATTTTAATGGGAATTAGCTACAGCAAGATAAACTGAAAAAACTGGTTTTGTTTTACAAAAGTTATATCTGTAAAGAGTAATGGAACAGGTGCCAAAAGCAGGAGTTGTCAGGGGGAGGGTGAATGTCACACACAGGGCAGCAAGCTGAGAGCTGCTATGAATTTCAGCTTCCAGTTCCTGACTTTCACAAAGCTCTGTACTCAACAGATGACAGGATCAAATATCTTTAACAGAGACAAAATACAACTCCTCTCAGTTTTTTAACAGTATCCTTCATCTCTAAACTGGAAAACCTATAATCCAATATCCCACACTTGAAAGGCCATGCCAATATCTGCTTTATTATGCTTCTGAATTTTGCAAAAGCCAAGAACGATCTAAGCTTCACAAGAGTTCAAAGCTTTTACATAAAATGAACAAATCCATATGTTTAATTTGAAAACCTTACTATACAAGTTAAAGAAGATCACTGATGGGCCTGTTCCAGCATTTACTGTAAATACACAATATTGCCTACTGTATGAGAAGTTAAACAAATGTCTACAATCTGGTATTAAAGCAAGGCAGGCAATGCCATTGACTTTAGTAATGGATCACCACTGATGAATTTGGCTTCCTGCCCAAGTTAGCCATTGTATGTTCATCTATTACAATTTGGGTAGTTTTTTACACTTAGTGCTTAGAACTGGAGAACTGTACAAATTGGCAGACGAATGTGGAGGATAAACTTCTCTACAGGTTGTGAAAGTCATGGAAAGTCCAGGTTGCATCTAATTGTGCTGGCAAGGATGACAGAAACATTATATATACGTATATATATATATATATATATATACATACATATATATATACATACATATATATATATATACGTATATATATACACACATATATATATACACATATACAAAATACATGTGCGTATAGATACATAATAATGGTTATTTTAATAATATATTTTAAGGCAACAACAAAAAAAAGCCTAGAATTTAATGAGTCTGAGAAACAGGAAGAAACCTGTAAATTCATGAGAAGATAAGCAAACCTCAGACGGCAAGACAGAAAGCCAGGATTTGTCCAGCCACTCATGAGGACTGATATTAGACGCTATCAAAATGTTGTCAGCAATCTGACGAATTACCAGTGCTGTCTCTTCAATCCCCGGCATAAGAACTACCTAAAGGTGATGCATAATATTTTTGGTTAAAACTTGTAATAAGGATTGAATTTGCTACAGAAGTTGGGGTGACAACTAAAGATGTCACAGCTGGTAATGTGGAGTAATTAAACCTGATCCATGCCTATCATGCAGAGGAACTCCGACCTCTGACCACTAGCCTGGCTACAAATGACACTCCTTATTTATGCAAATCCTATGTAGGTGAAATTAACTTATCCTATAGGTTTTTTATATGTGATCAATTTTCTGGGTTTGAGTTCCTAAAAGAACAAGCTATTCTGAGATGCCTAATACAATTTAAGAAGATACGTAATTACACTTTGAAGGTGTAATTTCCACACAAACTACACTGCTGTGTACATGGTGTGAAAAAAGCTTTGTCCTCTCTGTAGCTTTCATTCAATCAGGTAAATTTTATATGAAACTTAATATGCAAATAAGTGAAAAAGAGCCTAAAAAGGTATTATTTCATTCAAAAATATAAGTTACCAACATCAACTTTGTAAGCTGAATGGAACTCCTGCCCCATTTCTAAATGTTGATTATTCTATATACTACGTTTTCTGATTTATAAAAAAAAAAAGTTAATTTGTTTGGTCACATAAAAAAAGCAAACTAGAAAATTAGACTTTTTTTTCTTCTTTTACATCTGTAACATAATACTGAGCTGAAAATTCAAATTAAGATATAAGCAGGATTAATCTATATTCTAATAATTTATTAAAGGTACAATCGCATTGTTTTACTCTTAGCCATAAAAAGACCTTCAACTGCCATTTGAATCTCATTCAACTTGTATTGCAGTCAACAGTCTTTTCAGTGATTTTAGCAACACTGAATTAAGATCCTCTCTCTTATTTTAGTAATTTTGAGCTATTTTATGTTTTTGATGTAGAATGAATACTTGCTTCAGCTCTCTAGAAATATCATAACAGTGAAGATTAAAACAGAAAAAAATTACCTTCACTTCAAACTCTTCTGACTTCTGTGTAAGCTCAATTAGAGTGGCATAAAGTAAGACAAGGTTAAGCAGAGTATCTCCCTTGAGACTGTACCTGTAAAAGAGTTTTACTGGACCATTAACATTTAATATGCACATGTAATAATTCCAAAACATTTGATACATGTCTTAATAAATGTCCATTTCATTTTCAAGATTTCAGAATACTAGTACAGTTGGAGCACTAATATTTGTGAGAGGAAAATTAGGGTGCATTACGGGACTCAGTGCTGAAGGATGGACTGTGAGGAAGAAAATGGAGTCAGCCCACAACAAAGCAAGTCCAACCTGAAGCAAAAGGTCTGCATCAAGGTTGGAGACACCGGAGAGAAAACATACAGAGAGGAATGGTGATGCATGGGAAAATTAACACTTGCTTATAAAAAAAAAGAGATAATAAAGGAATGCTTATGAACAGTATCAACAAAAGTTGTGCTTCCATAGCAAAAGGAGAACTACGGATGCATAGGAAGAACACTTGAAGAATGTTTCCCTGTTGCAAATGATACACAGTGATGCTAACACAGTAATTCATAACTGTGCATTTGTAGGGGTTAATTTACTTCAGAGTTATAAAGAATAATTCCTCTGCTTTATATCCTTAGTCTTGTGAAATTTCTGGACCTCCTGATTTGGAATACACCTCGCATTAGTATTGCCTGTTATTTTATAACAACCATTTCTTTATCTCTTTTGTAAGACTAAAAATATCCTAACAAATAAAAACCACATTTGCTAACTTTTTCGCGGTCTCCAGTGATAACTACTACTTTTGTCATGTCACTGAGTTTTTCAGTAGGACCATGGCAACACTGTAACTGAGTGAAAAGTCCAAAGCTCTCTAGAAGTATGAATTTACAATATTCATATTGTTCTAAGAAGAAATGTTTTCCTACAGGGAAGTTCAAAGTGTATCAACTGGTTCAAGTAAGCAGCTTCCTTTAGTGATAAGTTTGTTTTAAAAATACCAGGATAACAAAAGAATTTCGTAACTTACTCTAAACTCAATCTCTCTCTGGAATAGAAAACAATCCAACAGCATGTGTATTGGAGTGATAATGCCATCAGCCTCGATATTAAAGTGTCACAGGAATTCTCATAATTAAGTTCTTCCACACTCTACCATAGAATTTAAATGAAAAGTAAAAAGCAAATAAATACACTGCCATGGCTGTCCCAAGCTTGTAATGTGCATTGCTATATTATGGAGAAGTTAGATGAAACATAAATACAGCTAAATAATGTAAGCATTAAGGACACATATGGGATTGGGAGAACTAGCTAGCATTCCCAACTTTTATTTTGTTTGACCCTTAAAAAGCTGATTCACTGCTTCATGGTCCTTCTTTCTTTCTGTAAAAAGGAAACACTGCCACTGTCTTTTTTGGGATGTTAAGATTTTTGTAAACTTTAATAATGCAAAATACTAATATAAACCTCTGAAGTACTTAACCTATACAAATCATATTATACCTACACTAATTATATAAAGTACACCATCACTAATTTCAATAGCATTTAGGAATGTCTGTGTTGTGCTTGCAATACTAATTGACTATTTTATTATTTATATGTCTTTCAGAAGCAGTTCTTCTATATGAAAAGCAATGTCTTCCTTCATACCAGAATTTAAGTACTATGCTATTGTTTAAACCATTATTTTTTAGCAGTAGGACAAATAACACTCTAGACTAATTCAGATAACAATCTGAAATGGGAGGAATTAACATGCACACTGGTGAGAGATTATAGCCACAAATACATTTAACTGCTCCTTACAAAATTTCTTTATACAACCCTATTGTCATGTATGCATTCTTTAACTACATTTAATACAATCAAATCACAGGTCAAAAGTTACACTTCTGTGAAGAAAATTTCAAAATAGTCAAACTGGCAGAGACAGGTTTTTGGACTTCATGAATTTGGAAATAATTTGTGATGTGAAACAATGCATGAATTATATATGATTATAAGGAAGAAAAGATATGCTAGAAACCTGCACATACAGCCTAGAAGTGACCCAACACATAACAAAAATTGCACACAGTAGTTTCATTTTGTACCTGCAAAAAGATAGCAGTACATTCATCTATTGTCAACACCACATATCGATCTATACTTCCAAAGAGCCTTAAGGAGTAACTACTGGTTCTTTCAACAAAGGTAATGCTGTATCTGAAGAATTAAAATTATTTTATTAAAACTCAGTCAAGTGAAATAATATATTTTTCTTAAAGAAAATCAGTAATATATACCTCTTAATACATTTTTTTAACTTAGAGACTTAACAGTCTTTTCATACATTGATCTTTCTCAAATGGTCAGTTCACTTTAAGACACAAACAACGTACATCAGTGTAGCAGTGATTTAACAAAATATTACTGGATTAATTCAATTAGGTTGCTAACTGCATCAAATATGACCATATACAGCCTTTGAGTTTACAAAAAAAAAGACATAATACAGAAACTCAGATAGATAAATCAAGATATGTGCTTAGAAACTCCTTTTTACTACCTTTGTATATTTAATTTCTTTTCCTCCTTTCATGATGGTGCAGCACAGGGAAAGCAAACTGAGTGAAAACTCCCTGACTGCCACTGGTATGATCCTAAATTTTTCTGAGTGACTGAGAGCTGTCAGCAGCACAGCCTCCTGTTGTATTTCATTAGGAAACACAGGAGACCTGAACCTTAATCTGCCAGCATTAAGTCATCTATAAACTTACATGGACACCAATGAAAAAGCAAATTATTACTTTTTGTGAAAATATATTGCTCTTTGCCCACCTACTTAACTACTCCATCAGTGCTACAAAGAGTAAACGTATCAAAAAGCATTCCTAGCTATTTAGCTTATGGCCAGGCTGAATGGAGAATAAGAACAAGTCAGAGTTTAAAAGCATGTCAGATCATATGTTCAAATTTTAAATGTCAAAGATATATATATATTTTTCCCCCTACTGAACTGTAATTAGACACAGTTCAAAAATGACTCCACAGCTGACTCATGGATACAGCAAAGATCAAAACTGGCATGTCTCTGCAACAATGTGGTGAAATCAACCACCCATATCTCTGTCACTAAGAGATACTGCTGCTCTGGTTCCTCTTTCTTTCTTTTTTTTTTCTTTCCCCTCACATGATAAGAGGTACCTTTATCAGGTATTTATAACTGTGAAAGCAAAATTCAAGAAAACTATGTCAAAGTAAATAATGCAGAAGCACAATGATTGACAACCATGACAACTTTTGTACAGGTTATAGAGTATTGAAAATTAAGTGAATATTAGATCTGAATTTTAGGAATAAATTAGCCTTGTTTTGAACTTAGCCTCTCCCAAAGGCTGTGAAGCATCAGAAAATGAGATGTTTTATTTTTGCCCATTTTGCTTTTTTAGCATAGATCCAGTAGTTAAAAAGCAAAAAAAATTCAACAGCAATTTTTATGAAGAATTAAATATAAAGTCTTCCAAGCACCAAGAAGCACTAAAGTAAAATGTTTTAGATAATATTACGATTTTCAGGGAAAAGTAGGAAATTAAAAGAGTTGTTTTTATTAAAAGTACCAGTTCATTATAACAATAAACAAATTAAACAATTTCATTCTGGTTGACATCAGTGTGAATCTCCAAAATTAAGCTATCAGCTTTAGCAGAAAAGCTATCTTCTTACATCTTGAAATGCTAACAGTGTAATTGCAGAAATGTATCTGATAGTCAAGTAGATGGCTAATGCATGATACAGTGGGACAAGATACATGTCCTGGAAATTGAAAAATAAATAGCCAATATGATTAAATAGGTGATTTTCACTCACTTGGATTCAAAAAGCTGAAGAATATCTGGCACATTGAGAAGCCCTTCAGTTGTCAGAAATACATATGGAATCTGTACTTCCAGAAGAAAAGAATCACTGTGATTCCCTAAAACATTTTGTATATGTAAGATAATAGTTTCCTGAGCAAAAAACTAAAGATACATTTAGATATTTAAATAGACATAACTTTTAAAACAAACAAAGTGATTCCATCATAGGTTTTTTCCCCCCCACCCAAATTAAACTCTTCTGAATCTCTTTGAAATTAGGCTTTCATCCAGACTTCTTTAGAACTACAGCATTCCCTTAGGATGAGGAAGGGTGGACACAGCTTGTAGTAACTGTAAACAACCTATGACCTTGGCACAACTGCCTTATAAACCATCATGTACTACTACATCTTGGCCAAATCTAGGCTTACACTTGAACAAAAACACCTTCCTATCTTGCTGCATAGATAAACCAGCTCTGTTTGCTTAGCATTAGCCTTCATAAGTTATTACTCATTCTCTTCCACAGGTACATCAATGTAGCATTTTAGGGAACAGAAAATGTTTTCCTTCATATGCCAGTCTAACTGTTGGTTACAATTCTGGAGAGCACTTACCCATTTGTATTGTTTCAGGGAAGGTAGTTTTAAAAGTTATGTAAGCAACATTCAGATTTTTGCACAGATTTTTCCAGCAAGAATCTTCAGAATAATCATATTCCATTACTAATGAGAAGTGTGACCAAGGGAAGTCAGCTCCAATTTGCTGATTATGTACAATAATGCAGGAATATCTACTAAGGCTTAAAAAATCCAACAAAGTGTTAATAAAGTTAAGTTCAGGAAGAATTACCCTCAGAACAAAATAAACTAAATTTTACTTTGATAAATTATGACTGTTTAAAGTGAAGTGTACTTTTTACAAAAAAAAATTTACCCTTCTCTTGCCTAAAACTCTAATTTCTTTAAAAATCAATTAAAAAATTAAAAGCTGTAGTTCTCCCATTCTAATCATCTTCTTGAACTACTCATGTTTTCCCATAATGTCATAATTTTTCAATTTTACCCTTATGCCCCTTTAGCACCTTTTTCTAAAACATGCAAAAAATTATAATTCTCTGATTAAGTTTCTCTAAAACATGCAAGACAAAATAAAAGGTTAGAAATATGCCACTTTTTGTTCTCTAAAAGTACCTTTGAGCCTCACTAAGCATTTTGCTAGAGTGTGGACAAAATAAAAATGAAGGTGTAGGTCTATACTCTGTAAACTTTACTCCAGACTGGAAAGTCCCATGAAATGAACAAAGGTAACTTAAGTTTTACTGACCTTAGTCTTGACTAGAGAGTCTGTTCTCAAAAATCAAGAATTTAACTTACTTGCTTATGATATCTTTACAAGCTAAAAGAGTTCCTTTTTTCTCAGAATTCAAATCCACAGCTTTTAAACCTGCTTAAAAAGAATGAAACCATTGATGAAATAAATGAGCCTCTGTGAGTATGAATCAATGCACAGCAGTAAGCAGCAAATGTGGAACAACATAGGTTATTGAAATTTTACGTGTTACATTTTCTTTTGTGATGAAGTTCCATACAATTTCAGTTTGTATTGTACTGTTGGGTATAATGATATGAAAACTCCTGTCTTGGAACCCAAGGAAGAAGTAATGAAAAAAGGTTTCACGTCTCACAAACTCACAACTCTACTACCTTAAAATGAAAAATTAAATGCTAATGCAAGAGGAAGCACCTTTGCCCCTTTATAAGTTAAATTTCTTTACACCTTCTATACATTTGAAATTTTACAAGTATAACTGGAAGATGTATCTAAAAAGGAATTTTGGTATAACACAAGTGTCTCTCTTCAGAAGTGTAGTTAGCTGGATTGATCTGGGTTTGCAATCAAGTCTTAGGATCTTAAAACAAATAAAACACTTTTCATTAAATATTATTCTTAGTAAAAGCATTGTGAACATGCCTCCTCCCTTTCAAAACATTCTAAAAGACAGGCTTTCTTCTTTTAAAAGCACAGGAAATTTAACTTTATTTTTAAAGGCAAAAGAACAATTATAGCACATGACACTTGATAAGGTTCCTGCAAGAAGGATTTATGAAAATGGATTTTAAAAAACAACATGAAAGAAATCTGTGGCTTGCTCTAAACGTAAGTACAGGCTCAAATAACAATTTTTCTGAAACACATTTGGTTTACCAGCTGAATTTGTGACATTGAACAAGCTTGTGCAAAAATTACTCACAGGTAAAATGTCGAACAGATGAAAGCATTTTTTGTATCAGTGGGGAGATGGGATATTGGAAACAGTATTTTTTTACCTTGAGTTCAACAGATCACTAGAGCTTATGCTGACATATTTAACGAATTAGTAAACTAGATGAGCGAAATAAGGAAAAGTATGGTCTATCACTAACTACTCATTCAAGGGTTTATGCTGGGGAGTTTAGTTAGGACTTCTAAATTCTAATTGCTCTTAAATAACTCACAAGGAAGAAAGCTTGTGACCAATCAGCTAAAAAACATGAAACAATCTGATCAGGACAACAGATGCAAATGTAATTAGACAATGGGCTGTCCACAGCTCTTCTGTGTTCTGTTAAAGAAATTTTTGACTTGACAGATAAACTAACATTCTGTTGCAAAAGAAAACATTATATCAGAACCTTTAATGAGGAGAAAATAAAACTAAAAGACAGAAAAAATTGCTGATGGAAGAGTTAAGAAACATTAAACAGTGAGAAAAATACATAGAAAGGTTTCTGATGAGGAGAAAAGGGAGAAACACCTTCACGAAGCATTCAAACAGGAATGCAGCAAACCACAGAATAACAGCCATTTTTTCTTTTAAAAATACATATTAAAATAATTATTTACCATCTACTCTAGATAACGGGTGAATGAGGGCTGCTTTTTCTCTTCCCGAGTCCATTCTTATAATGATTAGTATCTATAAGAAGACAAGTAGAAGAAACTCCAGTAATAATAAAAAAATTATTCTCTCAGCCTGCATACATCTTTCTTTCTCCTTTGCACAGAAAGCACGAGACTGATTAAACAGGTGGTAAAAATAGAAACCTTAGAGCTTTCCAGAATGACAATCATAGAATATCTTAAGTTGGAAGGGACCCATAAGGATCATTGAGTCCAAATCCCCGTTCCTCAAAGAACTACCTAAAACAAAGCCATATGACTAAAAGCATTGTCCAAATGCTTCTTGAACTTGGACAGGCTTGATGCTCTGACCACTTCCCTAGGAGTCTGTTACAGGGGAGACCACTCTCCCAGTGAAGAACCTTTTACCTAATGTCCAATTTGAATTTCCTCTGAAGCAGCTTCATTCATTCCAGTTCCTCATGTCCTATTGCTGGTCATGAGAGGGAGGAGATCAGCACCTCCTCCTCCACTGCAACCCTTAAAGAAGGTGTAGGCTGCGATGGGGTCACCCCTCAGCCTTTTCCTCCCCAGGCTGAATGAGCCAAGTGACCTCAGCTGCTCCTTCTAAGTCTTGCCCTTGAGGCCTTTCACTGTCTTGGTCATCCTCCTCTGGACACACAAAACACACAAGTTTGATGTCCTCCTTATATTGTGGTGCCCAAAATTGCCACAATATTCAAGGTGAGGCCACCCCAGGTCAGAGCAGAGTGGGACAATCCCCTCCCTCAACTAGCTGGTGATGCTTTGCCTCATGCCCCCTTAGACATGGTTGGCCCTTCTGGCTGCCAGGGCACTGCTGACTCAGATTCGACTTGCCATAGACTTGGATGCCTGGGTCTCTTTTCATAGGGCTGAATTCCAACCTCTCCTCTACCACTTTGTATGTATAACCAGCATTGCCCCATTCCTGGTGGAGAATCTGGCACTTGCTCTTGTTATATTTCATACAACTGACGATTGTCTAGCTCTCTAGTCTATCCTGATTTTTCTGTAAAGCCTATCTGCCATCAAGGGAGTCCACAGCTCCCCCTAATTTCATATCATCGGTAAACTCAATTCATGTACTTTTGATTCCTGCATCTAGACCATTTATTAACATATTTAAGAGCCCTGGTCCTAAAACTGAGCCCTGAGGAACCCCACTGGTCACTGGCCTTCAAATAAAAGGTTATATATAATTTTCAGTAACTGATGTGACACAATATACTTACCAGGGAAACAAAACCACCTGCAGTGAAATGAAGTCCTGGCAATGTTAAAATTCATGTGCATGTTATCTCAGGCATACAACAAGGGGAGATTTGATCCAACAGAAACCTGCAGTGCTCCTGACAGAGGTCTTAAAATTTATATTACCCTAATTTAACAGAAGTATGAATTGGAACGGTAATTATTAGACTTTTTTTCCCCATAAACCAGCTCTTGTTAAAAGATGGCATTATAAATATTCACATAGTCTGGAACAGTTTTGTTTGCTTAGAGAAATTGGTTACATTGTTAACCTTAACACTGTGTTTCTCTCCATAACTTTTCATCCAATTTAACATTTCACACTGAAGAGCTGTTATTTTGGGATTTGTTTCATGCTTTTTCTGGCTGCTGTACTGTACGATCTTCAACTGCCTCCAGATGTTACTCAAGCAGGATTCTAAGATGTTTTTATAGATATCCTTTGCCTTGGACAAATAACCTGTCAGTAAAGCAACAAAAGAAGCAATTGCAGCAACAAAAGATAATTGTCAAGCATTGTGTTTAATCTGCACATCAATTTAAAATCTACATGAAGGGTATCTGGCACAAAAGCAGATGAAAATTCAATGGCTTGCCAAAATGGAGGGATAATATTACCAGTAAGCAGGTATGTAAATGGATTTTGTAAAACTGCCATACTTTCTCTAGTATCCATAGACCATACGACTTCAGCTACAATTATTCAATATGACATTCTATGGCTGCAGAAGCAGGCAGCAGCACTGTTATATTTAACTAACCTATATAGTATACAACATATATAGTATACAACATATATACAACAGTATTTCTGCCATCACTGTCCAAAGCTTCACTTGTCCTGTGTCTTTACCGCTCTTCAAACTATCACAACTAGTTTTCAACTCTGAATGGTGTCTTCTGTATACAGTTGGTGAAAATGATGGGGTTATTTCAAAACGCATTCATCTGAGATAACTGTGTGATGAATTGCACAGCACAGTACAACAACACAAGAAGACCTGTAATGAAGACTACGGGGCCTACTCAGAACCAGGCTCCATTTTTCTAAGTTTTTTCCCAGATCTTTTTTACTTGTACAGTTTCCTGTGTCAGCTGTTGCTGGGGTTTGGAAACACAGGTGCTTTGCAATTCTGAAATATCATCTAGGAGTGCTTCAGCTACAATAAACAGTGGAGGAGGAACTGCTCATTTGTTTTCCTTGTAGAAAATAACTTTACTTGGGATTTTATTTATTTACTCATTCTGTTTTTTCTTCCTACTCTTCTATTGCTAGAAATATTTAAGGAAATGCAAAATAATTTATTTTCCCTACAATTTCACTTACGGCAAATGTTTTCCATCTTACATCAATTTTAAGGAAATACTGTCCCTTAAGGCATTCAGACCCACTGAAGTTAGATGCTCTGAACCACCTTTACTGCTATAAAGACAGAGGGAGCCTGACTTTCCTAAAGGCATTCATAAATGCTGACTTCAGCTCTTTATCGATCTGTTTTGATAGAGGTATCTGATAATTCACAATGCACAACTATGACAATTTGATAAGCTCAGCATTATCATTTCAGGCATTAAACTGGGTTACAATGGATTTTCATATTCCAAATCTGAACAGCATAGGACCAGAAAAGCTCAAAAAAAAGCTGTGGAAGTTATGTTATAACTTCAAACTCCATGCCTTATGATACATTAGATATTATTTTAGATTTTGCTTAAAATGCCCTCATATTTGAGTATCTAATTTCCAAAGAGCCTAAGAACATTTTTAGGTGGAAAGTGCTCCAGACCCACAGAAGACAGATTGTAAATAAAAAGGGACCTGACATTTTTGCATATTTCTCAGTTTCACACAGAGATTACAATGAGAATTTGTCATTCTGAGATACAACACATAATATATGTGAAAATTCATAAGAATGTTTCTTCGACAAATTAATGGAATAACATAAGCAGAGGTATATTAGTCATGAACAGAGCGTACACAGTGATGGCAAGGAATCAGAGCTACAAACATGAAGGACAGACTGCAGAACACACACAAAGCTTTGGGTTTCTGGGTATCATTATTTACTACTGAAAACAAACCTAGTGCTGTGTCGAAGCCGCATGACAATAGCAGATCTCGAACTGTCACCAGCAGATGTACCAGAGCAGCATGTCTGAACAGCATGATCTCCTTCTCATCTATTTTACCTTTACAAATAGAAGACTGAGGTGTGGTTGTGGTCTGTGTAAAATTTCAGAAATCTCACTGTACACACATAATCAATTTAAAAGATCCGTGTATCTCAGAATTTTCATTAAACACACTTAAACACAGACAGCCTTCAAAGCTCAGATCTGGTGAACTTGGCAAACAGCTTTTGATATAACATCTCCCATGCCATCTGACCCAGAGCAAGCGGCACACAGGGAAGTGTTTTTGAGAGGTGTGTAGGGACAGATGATGCTTGCTGGAGTAGGGGATAACAGTACCCTTGGGAGTGCCGTTAAAACCACACTGCTCACTGATTTTAGTGAGGGAATCTAAATATACATGGGTACCAATACATTTCCCATCTTTTGGTCCATGATACAAACCCAGCTGTTCACATTACTATTTCCTCATCCAATTAGTCAAATCACTAAATTTTTCAACAGCACTGTAACTCCATCTACCCTGTTTTCCAAACGTTTCAGAACTCTTTCCAAGAAACTAAATCAGTATGGACTTTTTTTCCTTGTCATTTCTAACATGGGCATAGCATTTTGCATCATGCAGGTGGGATGAAATATAACTACTAAAAGAAAAGAAACAACAAAAACACACGACAACTTTCAATTTTAAAATCTAGCATGAAAAAATATTAAGTGTTTTTTGCTGTAGAGGCAACATTTCTGAAGCATATGTAAAATATTTTAAAATTAAATTCAATTAGAATACTTTTTTTTGTATTGTAATATTGAGGTTAATAAATGCAATGTTGAACAATTAGGAGACATTATTTTGGAACTAAAAGAGGAAATCAATTACTGTAAGTCTACAAACTGTTAATAGTTTTATCATTAATTTATCAAGCATTTTGAACCTTGGCTCACCAATTATATCTGTATTAGTTTTAAAGAAGAAAAAACCTCAGAGATGCTTTTTAAAAGACATACCTTGTTCAAAATTATCGCACACTACTTTCTCTTGCTGTTTTAAGAAAAACCTTGTATGATCAAACTTAACACTGTCAAAGCTCCAATTTACAGAAGCAAGTACACCCAGACGCGTCAAATCTTTTAGTACAGGAATGGCTGCTTCTTCCAAGAGGCAGTATGCCTGGCATTGGCTTTCTGCATAGCACAATAAACAAAACATGATAGCAAAGTTTGGTTTCATAAACTATTATTGGACAAGAATAGTCCAAAGACCCAGAAAACACTAACAACACTGACTTCTTCATGAAAGCTGCAACATTAATGGAAGAAGAGTTGCTCCTCATGGAACTTCCTGAGTGGCAGAATTAAGCTGATCTTCAGGGCAGGCATCTATGCTGTTCCATGCATTTCATCAAGTGACCAAACTCCATGATGAAAAATTAGGATTTTTTTACTCCTGAGACTCGCACTGAAATTGTACTGCTATTCCATTGTTGTACAGCCTGCTTTTACATTGTAGTCATTTTCAAAATGATAATTTTTGTTTTGACTGCAGAAAACCCTAATTTTTTTCCTCTTGTTGCATTAAAGGAGTCTTGCTTCAAAATTTATTAGAAAAACATAATTAAAAAATAAGCTTATAGCTATGATTCCCACCTCAGATGGAAACAGATGAAAATGCTGCTGTACTCTTTCACTGGTTCTGTGAAAGACATTCCCACTAAGCACATGCTTGGAATAAATGCATTTTCATGGGAAACCAAACTAATCTGTACCAGGTCCACGACTTCCTAGCACCGTGTATGCTTGATTTGAGGCTCTTAAAATAGCTTGGATAAATACTTTCTAGGTTATTCTCTATCATTTCTACTGCATGAGAAAATTGCTGTCAGTGCATGTTTTTTGATACAATTCCTTGTACAACAGCCAGAGTTCACAGAGTAAGGCTCAGTCATGTGTTAACCCACAGTACATTTCTACTGTGTTCAAGACACTTCCTATCAAAACAACTACTGATCCCTTCCATCTCCAGTTCTTATTTACTCTGCCAGAGGAAAAAGTAAAGAACAATAATTGAAGGGTATTGATTGGTATGAAGAGATTGTATATCTGCTAATTTAGATCAGACATAACCCAAAGTCCGAGTTACTCTTTTTACTTTGCATGTGATTGGCTTTAGTACTAAGATGGAATTCTAGAGCCTGCTCTCACACCTGTGTCAAAACAAATATCCATTTACTTGCAATGTTTCCAGTCACAAGGAGCAGAGACTAAGCCTAATAATTTAAGCATTTTTTGAGCAGTACTATTTAATATAAAATTATATTGCAAAGCTGTATAGACCCATAGAATTGTTAGGATCATGAAGTTCAACTGTTAACTCAGCACCACCATGTTCACCACTAAACCACATGCCCAAGTGCAACAGCCACACTTTATTTGAACACTTGCAGGAATGGTGATTCCACCATTTCCCTGGGCAGGCAGTTCCAATACCTAACCATCCTTTCAATGAAGAAATTTTCCCAAGATCCAATCTAAAGCTACTCTGGCACAGCCTGAGGCCATTTCCTCTGGTCCTGTCACTTGTTACCTGGGAGTCTGACCCCTACCTTCACATGGAAAAAAAAGCATATCCAAAAATAGTATACCTGATGCTTGAATATTGACTGTGATACCATCCTCATTCTCTTGGGGTTTTTCCTCTATTTTTACAATCTCACAAACAGAGTCATCCTCTTTGTAAACATGCATATGCTGTTCTTCAGGTTGTAGCACTGAATTATTAAACCACAAGTGAATATTTAGACACAAATATCACAAACCCAGCTCAATGAATAAGAAAACTGTTCAATAAATGACTCTACATGCAAAGATATTTTCAATTTAAATAGTTTCTGTGACATATGCATTTTCTCCCCATGAATTCTTTACTGTTTTCATGGGCTTACACAGTATGGGAAAAACATCAAGACACAAAAGGAGATTAGGCCCTGTCTGCCTTCACAGCCCAAGAAGTCAGGCATTATCAAAGAAACAGAGCTGGGAAAATTAAGGTGCTGGTCCTATAGCTCTATAATACAGATTCATAAGAAAGATCATATGCCTCTATATGGGGAAAAAACACATATGAGAGGAAAGACACTGCTCAAATTATGAAAAATACCTCAGTGAGCGAGACTAGAAAAGATTAGATACTGTAAGCCATCCAGAAGAACCATGGAAGATGCAAATAGTAAAAAAAAAAAAGAAAGAGGAAAATAATTTTCTACCATCTGCTAGCTATCTTTTGTAACTTGTTAGTATTTCTAAGTGGCTGTCTCCTCTTTCTGATAAATACTGATGCATGAGCTACAACTTCTGACCACAAAGCTCCTTCTGACAGTTCTATATCTTTATTTCTGAGAGGAGTTCTTATTGAATAGTTCTCTACTAAATATTACTGACTTTTTTTCTATTTATGAATGTCAGTTTTCTCAGAAAACAAACTGATCATACACAAACAGAAGGAAAAGAAAAAATGAATTTTTATTCTAGGTAACTTAAAAAAACCTTTCTGATTTTGAAAAGCTAGAGGGGGTTCCAAACCGAATCACTGAACTGTTTCTACTACTTCCCTCCTCTATATTTTCTAAAGTAAATATTAAACACAATGATATCTTTAAAAAATAAGCCAAGCAACAAAGAGCCCTACAAGAAGTGCTGGCATCTCTACTTTTCAGTTAGATTTAGACTGACCCATAATAAAAGCTTTTCATTATTACAAAAGTATGCGATAATTTATATAATTTCTACATCAATGTGGTAAGACCCACACATTTTAATGGATTCTCTATATATCAGAAATAACTGCCACACTGGGGTCTTGCCTGTACATATTCTAGTCTGCATTTAATCTACTTAAACCTCCACAAGCCTGTTCCTGAATGTAACATAGCTTATCTTTCAGTACATTTGGATTCCTTTTTAAGCAATGCAGTTCTGGTCATAGTTCACTAGATGGTAGCATAAAGCTTCAGTTCAGGTACTTTGGTCTCCTACTTGTAAAATTTGGCTTGTTGTTTTCTGAGGCCATGAAATGTTTTAAGCATCTCTACCAATGTCAGTAACAGGTGAATTTTTACCAAGAAATAATTTCCTCCACAAGATTACACAAGCTTTCAATTAAATAAATATCCCAACTCTATTCTATAGGAATTATTGCTGAAAGCTTTTATATAAAAAATTTTTTTTTTTTAATGCTGAGACAAGTAACTAAAACACAGATAAAAGTTCTTGTTAAAATTCTGCCATACAAGTCCCAAAAACCTTGAGAAATATTCTTTTCAAAAGATAATTTTATCCTGAAAACTGAGTCTGGAAATACGTCTCTGCTGACTGCTATTTCATGACACAGACATTTCTTTTTAAAAACAAATAAAGAAATTCTTCCACTTCTTTTCTTTCTCTGTTGTTTTGCATCTCTGCAATGCTGAACACATAGCCTGAGATTCTTTCCTAAGCATTGTCATCAACAAGAACAGGGCTATCAACAACTTTCTGTTTTTCCTAATACCTGTTCTGCTTCATTGTTTGATGAGGTTTGCACCAAGGTAACTGGCTCAAATGAACAACTCTTGTTCATTGTCTAGTTTATGTTGGTTCTATAGAAGTAAGAGTACTGATTTACTATTTGGTAACTACAATGAATTTGATAACTATTTCTTCTCCAGAGAGGTTTGGAGATCTGATTCAGAACATATGGACAGAGGAGATCATCTGAAGTACCAGTCAGAGTTACTTCATCAGAACTGGAATAAACTCATATGTTTATTTTATGTAATACCACTTCCACCACCAAAAACCCAACCCATTCCAAAAACAAAACACCACCCCAGCTAAGCCAACCAACCAAAATCCCCTAAGATACCTAAAGTAAAAAAACCAACAGGTAAGATATTTAGAGGAAAAATCAGCTTCAACTAAGACCAGAAAAATGTCACCATTTACTTCAAAGGATACATCTACTAGGATGAACTCGCAACTATTGTAAGTGGTAAAACAGTAAAGAATTAAATCTGGAAAAAATGGCAGCATAAACTGGTTCACATACCTTTTTCAGGTCTATCTACATAATTTTTTTCCTCTCTTTGTCTGAGTGTATGTTTGGATCTCATCATGATAAAGTTGTTCAGATCAGAATCATCGTTGTCCCATTTTGTAGCAAGTGCAAATGATGCAGGCTTTTCACTACAGGATGAGCTGTGTACTTTAGAAGATACACCTTTACAGCTGACTGATTCAGATGGTTTGGGAGTTTTCTTTTCTTGGTTTAAGAAACGAATCTCCTCTTCTACCTTAATCTTCCTGTTGTTTCCTCCAGTAAGCTCTCCCCCAGATGTATTTGTGCTGTGAATTTCGGCAGATGACACAGCACTCATAGGCAGGGCAAAATACTGCCTTTGAGTCTGCAGCGACAAGTCAGGGTTTACTACTTTGTCCATCTGATGTCTTTCAGCAGAAAGCAGCTCTTGGTTTATCACAGAATTTTCTTCAAGCCATTCTGAAAAATAAAATTTAATTTATTCACTGAAGTATAGACCTTTTTCTTTTCTGTCTTCTGGCTGGAGTTAATGACTTTGGATGGTTTATAGAAAAAGCATTTTTTAAAAATTTCTTCTTTCTGTCTTCTCAGATCATTAAAATCCACTTTTAGAAAACTTGCACTGACTAGTCCAAAGCAAAAATGCACAATATTGAGACACAGAAGGCCATGCTATTGTTTGAAGAAGTTTTCACCATGGTGTTTACTGATGTTAGATTTCTAGGAAGTGGAAAGCAGTACCTTTCATTAGGGAGAAAAGTTACCGGATTTTTTTTTTTTTAGAGGAAAAAAAAGAAGTAATGAATGCAATCTGCTCCCTCTGAAGATATGCTTCAATAGAACTGCAATTTTTTGCATTATGGGTGTACATTCATCTCAAACACAGTAGCTAAACACTTAAAAATATGTAAAAAGCAGTAACTTGGAACTGTTCTTTCATGAGCAGTGTCTATTTGTTTCACAGTTTATCATGTTACTGTCAATCCTTGGAATGCTACAACCACAACTGATGCCTTGCAGTCCAGTCATAGCTATATAACAAAATCCAGATAAGGTTTTGCATTTTTCGTTGCAGTTTGATTATAAGTATGTAAAATGGCCCATGAGAAGTTCTGAAGTTATGAGGTGTTCAAATTTGAAACCATTGTCAGCATAAAAAAACCTCTGTAGCATCACAAAATAAATAGTTTTCATTGTAACACACGCTGGCTTCTGCAGACAGGACAATGTGAGTATCTGCTTTATTAAAATATTTCAGTGCAAAACTACTATTTGTTAAGAAATTCTCCTGTATGAACCTATTTTATTAAAAAATAGTATGGCTGGTGGCAGCTACTCTTCACCTGCATGGTAATAAATTTGTGTACTTAAATGTTTTTGTTCCTACAATTTAAGTTTGTGAAAGTACACCTTACCTGCAGTAGTGTCGCTACTTCATTTTGTTGTAAAACATTTTAGTCTCAAAAATAAGAAATATTTCATTTACTTTGTTCTTGGAGATATGTAACTATCACTGCCTGATTCTCTGACTAAGTATCTATCTTTGCCTTTCTATCACTTTTTTTAAAATAAGAAGGTACTTACTTTCTAACTGATACGATGTAAATTGTGTGAATTTTTCTATTTCTGTAGGAATTAAACTGTTTGCATTACTGTCATCCATATTTAATTGCTCCAAAATTTCTATGGCTGCTGAATTTAAACCCAAATTAAGCCACCAGCCCTTCTCTAGAGAGCTAAGCATTGGTGCTTCTGTCTCAACTGGTAGCATTTCTTGCAGTTCTGTCAGTGAATGATGCTGAGGCACAAGGTTAACAGTCTGATGCTCTACAAAACCCAGAAATAACATATAATATTAATAATCTAGAAACATGAAACAGAATGTAATTTTGTAAATAAAAGCTCCCAGGTATTATGACCTACTATATATCTCCATATATCCCTTTTTTATACTTCCATTTGTAACTCAGTGTCCATGAACAGATTTAAGAGTAAAGCAGTTGACATTATCAGAGTAAGAGTACTTTTTACTTACTGTGTCTATGAGTAAGGTCAGGTGGGGGGTTAATTTTTTTTCAGATCTAATAATGTGTAGCTGCATTATTAAAATTACAAATTATCTTGTTCATTATGTGTAGGTTTACTTATCCTGCTTACAAAGACTTAGCAGAATCCTTACCTGAAAAAAAATCAACTGGAGTAGTAAGGAGCATACCAGACATTATTTTAAACTGTAAATCAACGTACAAATGAATTGGACAACATAACAAGTCAATATACATAACTTAATCCTGGCACTTGTAAAATGAAGCAAATAAAATGAAATGAAAGAATAATGGTAATTAATATTCCAGTGCTGTCATAAATACCCTGCAGCTTATTTTGGTTTTGTGTATTTTGCTTCCTAACACGAACTCTGCTTTTGTGAGTTTATAACATTATTTTCCATGAAGCATACTCTTCTATTGATTAATACACTTTTTAAAACATTATTTAAGGGAAAATAGTACACAGGAAAGAGTTCAACAGATTAACAAATTTCTACCAAACTGTTACTACAGTTATTGTATATAATTAGCAGTAGTGAGCTGAACACTGTCATAATAAAATAAAACTCTTATTTCATTCAAACTACCTCCACAGAAGGGTACATGACATACTGACTTCTTTGTTGCCATACTGTAACTTTTTACATGTACTAAAAGAATCAGATAATCCAAACTTCAGAGGCTTACATTAATTGGATAATTTTCAATGGCTCAAACAAAACATGTGCTCTGTAATATAACATTATCTTTTCTGCTGTATTTCTCTGTGTACATGGAACTTGTTAACATCAATTAGAAATCCTTACCGACCAGCAAAAGAGAGCTCATATTATCCCGATACTTCTCTGATTGCCATACCAAAGAGTCTAAGTATTCCCTAGAGGGCCCTGTAATCAAAATACTACAAAGAACATAAAAAAAGACTTGTAGTTATGAAGTTTAACAGGATTATCTGTTGAATTTTGATTTATGTAAAACTGCCTTTTAAAGATCTACTTTGTCTTTAAATTTTCAGTTAATTCATTCATTCTCCCGTTCATCAAAATGTTTGTTCTTATCCATACAGAGGAAACAGGAAAGAGTGAGAGGACCCATCAAGGCTGATTCATGAACTAAAGTGGTACAGAGTGAGAATTCTGTCTAGAGTGTGGTTCCCGCCCCAAAGGGATATTTAAATTCTTTGTGCATATGTGAGAAAGATAGCAAGGTAAAAAAATTCTAGTCTCAAAAACAAGATGAGAAGGAAAAGATGAAGCAATCCTAATCCTGTGTCAGGATGAAAAGGCCCAAACCCCATTATTGGAGGATATCCCCAAAACACAGACAATACTTTCTTCCTGTATTGCTTCTGGAGATTTTGAAGGTGATACTTGTGCAATGTATGTATTTTCCATATTTATAAATGTATACATACACACATATACACACTTGCTAAATACATAGGTATTTACTGTTGCCTATTTCAAAAGGGAGACTGCATTTTCAGGTTATTAAATCCCCCTACAGAAAGAGGTCTACAGAGGTGGTTGTCATTTCCTTTTTCAAGCTCCCCTGAAAAGCCATGGATACGGCCTGTGCACTCCATCACTCTTTCACACAAAACACAGTATATATGCAGGTCAAACAACATAAGTATTGATTCATAATGTTCTATTCATAATAGACTAAAGTTATTTTTTCAATTATTTTGAGGATGTATGATTTAGAGGATTTATGGTAGAATTTGTCACTACCAAAGTTTCATTACCTGTTACCAGAGAGAGGAAGAAGTTCTTCCTGAAGTCCTCTGCACAGAAAATTAACCCATGAACTTTGTTGTCTGCATGGAGGAGTTAAAGGCACTTCCATTTCATCTTTCAATTCAGCGAGAAATTACGTAATGCCCCAGCCAAAACAAAAATAAAAAATCAAAATCACAAAGCTACCTTTGAATGAAATACACATGCTTACGAATTTTATACTAGTGGAATTTTGTATTAAACTACAAAATATTTTCATAGGACGATTCACTGTTTAAGCTCTATGCCCCAAACACTTCACATCCAATTTCCAGACAGTTTGGGGATAACAATGTGTAGGTTACATTTCTTTGATGTAATTCTGGCTGCATACTCTTCACATGTAAGATGATTTTTATAATTAAATCATCAGGTACCATGGCTGAGGTCTTGATATTGGCCTTCTTAGATGCTTTCCCCATAAATGAAGTTAATTAGATGGGAGAGAAACTTCGGCTAATGTTATAGCAGCTGTAAGACACAGATGACCGGACTTGGGAACTTCAAAAACAGTCAGGATTTTAAAGACAAAATTACTCTTTCAAGTAGAATTAGTACGCATTGAAATTTCTAGGGACGATCACTGAACTGATCATCTGCTTTTTTAAAGCAGTATGTAAACAAACCTGGCATGTTAAAAGTTCCCTGCAAGTTACTTTTAACTTTTTTTTTTTTTTGCAATTGTATCACATGTGGATATATTAATGGATTATTTATTGGTTTTTATTCAAATCACATTAGGAATTTGCAACTGCACTGATTTTAGTGTCATTTCATAAAAACTTGTGGTTTACATGACTGTCCTAGAATTCTTCTCTCTGCCATTCTTCTAACCAGAAAGCAGAGGTAACAAAAACCACAGTTGTTCTATGGTCTGTGAAAACTGTCAGAAAAATTTTAAGTAAAACAGTGCCTCTGTAAGGAAAAACATTTGTAACAAATTCCCTATTCATTCTAACAGGCAGCAAGCAGATGCAGTCCTCATACACACGTTGTTTGGCCAGTTGGCACGAAGCAGGCTATGAATCAGTCACCTGTCCAGCTGCTTACAGCTGCTCCTTGACTGACCTAAAAAGCTGATTGTATGGTAGGAAGGGTAAGGGACAATGTTATAAAGCCAGAGAACACAAATACCTATCAGAGAAGCAGAAAAAAAAGGTAAGAAATAGAAGTGGATATAAAGGAAACAACATACTTCTATCCAGTATAATTTCTTTCCCATTTACTTAGAACACAAAAAAAGCTCCATGAACTACTGCTGTGAACTTCAGCTCACGAACTGTTTTTTGTGGGGATAAACAATTTAAGCACATTACTTTGAATAGGATAGGAGCTGGTCTCAGGACAGTATATCTCTGCCATATCTAAAAAGAACAATTCTCTCTCTTTCAGCAATACTATTAATTCTTGCCTTTAAGTTATTTTTGCCTTTAAGACTGGAATATTTTCATCAGTTACATTAGATAAACTCTGCTTACTCTCAGAGGTTCATTGAACTCTCTTGTTTCTTAAGCCCTTTATCAATAAACAGATCCTATTCCTAGCAAGAGAGAAAGGCAAACAATGAAAGGTTTACAGAAAATGCCATTATATTATCACCGCTTCTTCTCTGAGTTCAAGCACACATATTTCACTTCTGGTAGCTCATAAACACCAAAATCAATTAGAACAAGAAGATGGAAGCTGATTGTGCCCTAACAACTTAATTTTGCCTGATGCAATGGCAGAGCTAAGGCAGCAAACTGTCAATAAAGATTAATGTGGTCACTTTCTTTAAAAAACAATTCAACATTATTTGACTTCTTACATCAGCTCCAGTAGAACAGATAATATCCTAGAGAAGATCAAAGTCAACCTGTCACTGTTGCATACAGGAGGAAGGTCTCAAAATGCTCAGACCTACTACACTTAAGCTCCTCCTATTTGTCAGCCTCAGAAGCAGAGAGCAGTCAGATAGCTCATTCGACCCAGATTAGTTTATCATGCTAGGCAATAACTTCAAGTTGGAAAGTAAGTTTAACTTTGTCTTGGTGGAACAACACATGGTGGGTTTGCATTGAGCTTTTATATCAGACCCTTTGAACAGATATGATTGCTCCAACCAAAATTCCACTGCAATACAGTATCAGGAGCATGATCCTATTAGCCTGCAGAGGGTAACTATCAGTTCAGTTTAAAACACATTGAAACTAAGACAATAAGGGGGTTCTTGATCTGGAGAAAACACAAGATTTCTCAAGGATTTTAGTAACTGCTGGACGGAAAACTATCAAGTGAACATGCACTGGTTACTGATAATACTGCTGCTGCCCAGGGCAATAATGGATAGACTTTTTCCTGGATAGGATACACGTTAGGATGAGAGGTACATATATATTCAAGCATTGCCACTCTGCTCAGATCACATCCATTTGTAAACGTCACTCTTTGCACAGGCTCTTCTACATTTAATTAAAGGTGAAAAATGCCACCAGCATAGCCATTTTTCTGCCTCACTTCACCAGCCAACATTTAGCTGGGAATACAGTTGGGCTGGCAAAGAATATACATTATTTTCAAAGGTTACACCTGGAACCTGAAGAAATTTTAACTAGGGTTGGATAATTAGGTTGTGCAGTCATACACCAAACCCGCCCAGCATTGGTATGCACTGTAAACACCATGACTTGAGTTTTCAAGCTATTAAAGGTGGACACATACAAAGTATTTCCAAATGCCAGTGAAGGAGAAGCAAGGATTCAATGCAAATATTCAACACTTCAGTTTATTTCTATGGAAAACAGCTCTGCTGACTATATGACTTAATTTCTTGATCACACATCATTACAGAACTGTTTGCAAACCAGAATGTCTGCACAGGAGCTTTGAACATCTAGAAGTTATTACCTCAGCACTTCTGCCTGGATTGTTCTCCACCACCCTATTTTGAAAGCATTTATATTAGACTTTAACAAACTTTATACTGCGCTTTTTAACTCCACAAATTGATGTTAATCAATCTGTCTTAAATTTCATCCTCCCTCTCTAGGTAGATAATTTGCTAGACAAAAAAGATCCAAAAAGCCTATCAAATACAAAATTCATAGACATCACTTGCAGCCAAAAGCAACATGAGGGAACTGTAAAGTTGGTTGTGTTTAGACTATAAAGCTCTGGAAAGCAGTATGGCACTTCTAGCTCCTTATAGTGCAGGTAAAAAATAGTAGATTACACAAAGAGAATGTTCTTATCTATACAGTGCATGTCCTCCTACGAACAGAATATAGGAACAATTGCTTAAAGAATTTATTTTAAATATCACCCCTTGATTCATACAGATCTTCCTACCTGACTCACAGAATTCCAGCATACTTGTGCTATTACTGGAGCAAACCTCTTGTGGAATGGGACAGTACTTGGAAATTTCTATGTTGTATGTAATTTCTGCTTTGAGATCTGAAAACAGATTTTTAAAGGTGCCATAAATTAACCATTCATTACATTTTCCTGTCAGAGCACTTTTTGCTTTCAATCTTATTATTGAACCTCCATGATATATTGTTATGAAAAATCACAGTCATGCTTAGTAACCCCAAATGCTGTAGCTGATAAGAGCAGTGTTCAGTCTTGTCCCTTAGGTGACAGAAAACCCCCGCAATCTACTATAATCACTACCCGAATTATTCCAAGCTCTTATGACTACAGTGATTTCCAGAACAATTAAGTAGCCTAAATATAGTTTGCTGGGAGTTTGTGTATGTAGATTCTTTTGCTACCAAAAAAGAATGAAAAACTCCAGTAGGTTGACATTTATGTACAAACTCCTCAAATATCTGCAGCAGAGGTTGGATCATTCAGCTCAGAACATGGTATGTACTAAATGTATCATAAGAATGCAAATGAAACTACCCTAGTCAAATATACACTTTTAAAAGTTTTGTTCCTATTTTCAACAAGAGACTGGATTATTTCAAACTGGTGCCCTATCAGACAGAATTCAGCAGACACTCCACATTCAGAAGCACGACTCTTCCTTCTTTGAGCTGCTTCCTGCCCACCAAAAAAGTGGAAAAATATTAATTTTTAACTAAAAAGAACACAACAAAAACACAGGTAATGTTTCTTTCTTTTAACCAGACAAAATACTGCCATATAAATCAGCCCATTAGCCAATTAACTGTCATTAAAGTTGTATTTATCCATCACATAAAAGCATTTAGAAACAGTTCTAAAATTTCTTTAAAGAAATAACTACTGTCATTTAGAGTATTCCTGTTATCCATGGAAATATTTAACCTTTTTGTCCTCAGAAATCTGCTTTTGTGTTTACAATTACAGTGCAACAAAAGCGTTTTTTTACAGTATGATTTACAGTACCGCACGTAATCCTCTTAGGGATGTCTCTGAAAGTAAATTTAAAAACAGATAGGAAAAATCAAGACTAAATTATTATATTCATGGTAGTTTTTATAGCACAAATCATGGTTCATTTACATTTGTTTCCGAGATTACAACACAACCATGGATTGAACCAAATGGCAAATAGTTTACTACCCCTTGAGGAGACATGTACTCAGAAATCTGGACATAGAATAGTTCATAGTCTCACACAGAGGAATTCTCATTTAATAGGCTGTAATGTAACTCAAAAGTGAACTCAATATCAAAGACCCAAATTGTGTTAAATGTGTTGAAGTGAAAGGAAAATCAGGTCAAGCATTTAAGAAAACCAACCCTCACGTTCTTTGATCACTTCTTTGCACAGGTCTTCATCAGCCATAGTGTCTGAGGTCACATTTAACAACTCGTTCAATTCCAAGTATGATGGAATCTTAGCAGAATCAGATCTGCCATTGCTGGGTTTGCTGAATTCTAACTCAAGAGGCAACATGAAATACTGAAAAAATATTAATCACAACAGAATGGTCAGTAAATCCCCTTTGATGTTACTGTATAGTCAAAACTTTTTCAAAATCTTGAAATAACTTAATTCTAAACCAATTTCAGAGCTTTTAGGAGAGAAATCATATGACATTTACACAGTATACACAAAGCTTTGCTCAATAGGGAGCAAAGTTACAGAATGCAATGTTACAGAATTTCAGATTGAGTGACTGGAGTGTAGAGAGTGTATCTGAACTTTTAGTTCCCAGTCAAGTAAAATCTTCATTTCCTTTACTGAAAGTTTGTGTTTTAGAATTTTGAAAAATGAAGGAAAAAGTACATTTGACTTCTTTTTATAAAAGAAGCAAAGCTGGCTTCCCAAATCCTGAAACATATCTTGGAGCTTTCCCTTTCCCATGCACCTCATGGTTTCCTGTTCTGGTTAATTTGTATTCTTAGTGTAACAAGTACCTACAGTGCCAACACATCCGGAAGAAGGAGAAACAGCTGATCAGAGTGGAAACTCCTAACAGCAGCATCCAACAATTAAAAAAACACCAATAAAAGCAGTGTTTCCTAACCTTGGAAATATGAAAGCTGTGAATACTTTGCAAGTATGAAGAGAATTCAGTAAAATGACTTGCAAGTGAACAAACACCTACCCAAAACACAAAACAACAACTAATATAATATATAGGATGAAACAACAGAATGATACCTCTTCCTCTTTTATAGGTATAGTGCAGAAGTTCTCTTTAATCTCCTGCAATTCATTTTTACTCTCTTCCATCTTCATTTCATTTTGGAAAATCAAACACTCTCTTTAAAAGATCATAAAAGAAAGTAAGTGACTTCTTTGTATTACTTCATGTCTAAGATTGAAAGTCTTAGCAATAGCTTTGATAGCCATACACACGGCAAAAAGTTATTTTTCTAAATCCATGCCTTTTCTAAGAAAGCAATTCCAAGGGATGCTCTACCGATCTGTGGAATTAACCAAAAGTATTTTTCAAGAAATAATACATTATATGCAGAGTAGAATCACTTAATATTGGGACCTGCCTTAAAAAGTTACAGAAAAAACCCCTCATATTAAAATTGTTCAACACCCATCACATAAATGTTCTCATGTGAAAACACTTTCTGCAAAAGCTGAAGATCTAAGTTTCTTCCAATGTCAAATTTTTTTACTATATATAAAATCTCTGTAATCTATAACACCAACCTTATTTCACTTTTATCTCCTTTAGTTTCTATTTTCAGAAATGATTCAGCACCAGTGAAGGCAGAGTGTGCTTATTATTAATCAAAATGACAACCAAAAGTATGTTCCCTGGTTTAACTGAAAAACTTTCAAAATGCTTGGAAATAAAACTCAGTAGTGAGGCTACTACTTGCCTTGTGAGGCAAGGATACAAGCAGAAAAAAGATGAAGATTTTTCAAGTAGAAAGAAAAGTTTTCATCAGGCTTGCCAATTGTGGCCACCACACTAAAACTACAACTTTTTAGGGGGATAACTTCCTCCTCAGTCCCTGACACCACTATTTTCCTGAAGGAATACTTTGGACTGAAGAGTACAAATTGTTCTACGCCCAGCCTTGGGATGCTAACTGAATTTTACCTTAAGTAGAAGTCTGTTTCATTATATGTCTTTGTTTAAATGCCTCTCCCTGTGTGCTGCACAAGTCGATTTGGGCCCCCACCTTGGGGAGGGTCGTGGTTTTGCTAGTCAACCACAGACCAAGAGGTCAGAGCTGTTTCAGTAAAGGTTCACACTAGCACTTTTTATGCCATTTCTGAAAGTAGTTGCAGAATCTGGATCATGTTATCTTCACTAGGTATTTACAGTGTTCACACTTGCACATAGTCTTATGTCCAAAACTCAGTGTGAGATTAGAGCTCATTTTAAAAAACAGGCCAACAACCCCACTCCTCCCTGTTCTGCTGCTATACAGGTACAGTTAAATCAGTTAAAATTTGCTTTACCTTTCTTGGGAATCATGTAACCCTACCAAGCACAAAAGAAGTGATACCAGTCATCCAGACACGAAGTAAATTATCACAAAATTTAGCCAGACTTTATGCATGCACGTATACAATCAAGATATTTAGGACATACTAGGCCCATTTCTAATACAGTTTACACCAGTTTAATGTATCAGTTAGTTCAAATTCATGACATTAGACATTATTCAACTAAATTCAATCAACTCAGTAATATGAAAGTGAGTAAAACCATAAAATAAATAATACTTGAATGTGAAGAAATACAATTGAACTTGAAGAAATACAGTTCAACAGCGCAAGAGCATGGATTTGCTGACAGCATGACTGAGACGACAGAAAGAAGGAACATGGAAGAATGAATAAAATCCTAGCCCAATTAAATTTAGAGGCATTTTACTGAGAGGGAATCAGTAAAATCAGTTTGAGGGAGGACGAGGTCCCTTAAAGATGTACATTTTTTCAGTATTCCAAAAGTAAAATCTTGAGTACACTTCACACTCACAAAATGCAAAAGTGACACAATTTCATTAATCCAGTTTTCTTAATGCATATAAATTTCATTTGAGTAATTTTTTCCTAAGTAAGAAAAAAAGCTGAAGTCTTTACCTGTTGCAAATATAAACTAGTTACAAAGTTATCATTTAACAGATGTTCCAATGTCATTATACAAAGATTATTTTTTATGTTCAATATTATACATCAACTTGTAGGTACCTGAAAATGTTCTCTTCTGTTAAAATCTGTCCTTCAGAATCTAAAAGGGGATCTTTCACTAAAAAAAACTGTAATCTGCTCAGAAGCATAGATAAAGTTGGCAGGTTTTTACGAAAATTTTCAAGATTATCAATAAAAGTAAATTCCTCTTCCAAATATAAATCTGATGAAAAATAAGAAAAAATACATTATAAAACAAGATAAATGTAATAATTACCAGAATAAATAGAATCGTGGATCAACTTTTAGAATACTATAAGTGTCAGCAAAAAATAAGTACTTTCTGCTTTAAATATTTTAGAATTTTAAAGCTTTAAGTACAACAAAGTCTAGACTTCCAATGGTCCACAGGATAAGCTCTGGTTTTCTTTTCCCTTTTTTTTTATTTATTTTCTTATACAATGTCTGTCAAAAAAAAAAGGTATTTTCCTTTCTTTCCCATGTTTGCATTTTCAACAAAGACAAGTGCAAAGTTCTACACCTGGGTCTGGGCAATCTCAGGCCCACCTACAGGCTGGGTGGAGAAGTGACTGAGAGCAGCCCTGTGGAGAAAGACTTGGGGCTGATGGTTGAAGGAAAACTCAACCTGGGCCAGCAGTGTGCACTCACAGCCCAGAAATCCAACAGTGGCAAAGCAGGTGATTCTGCTCCCCTCTTGGAGCATTGTGTCCATCTCTGGGGTCTTCAGTAGAAAAAAGACATGGACCTGTTGGAGCAGGTCCAGAGGAGGGGCGCACAAATGATCAGAGGAAAGGAACACCTCTCTTATGAGGAAAGGCTGAGAGAATTGGGATGTTCAGCCTGGAGAAGAGAAGGCTCCAGAGAGACTTTACTGCAGCTTCTCAGTACACAAAGGGGGCCTATAAGTAAGATGAGGACAGATTTGCAATAGAACAAGGGGTAATGGTTTTAAACTAAAAGAGAGATGATTTAGATTAGATATTAGGAAGATGTTTCTTACAGCGAGGGTGGTAAAACACTGGAATAATTTGTCCAGACTGGTGGTTGATGCCTCATCCCTGTGGGTGCTCAAGGTGAGGTTGGACAGGGCTCTGAGTGACCTGAGCTGATTACAGGGTGGTTGGACTAAATGACCTTTAAAACTCCTTTCCAATCCAGGCTATTCTATGATAACAGGATTCTATGGACTTTCATTTCTTCTGACAGAACTGAGGCAGTAACTACACCCCTATTTGATGCAATCCCTTACATTTGCAATAGAGTAGACACAAATATTTACATACACATTTTACATATGGATAATACACATAGAAGGGTAAAGTGAGGTTTTTGTTCTTTCTTATTTTTTACCAACATGGAAGTATCCTCATTCCTATATCCCCCTTTCATTCCTTGGATGACTCCCTATCTGTAACAACCTTCCTTTCCTTCCTAGTGGCTGGAAGTTGTAGATGCTGATTATGTTCCCCTCTCTAACTGTTCTATGCTGCTGACTCAGATTCCCATAAAGAAATCTATCAATTAAAAAATAAATGCCTCATTGTAAAATGCCTCTGTTTAATGAGATGAACAGTTCAGAAGAGGCTACTAAGGCTTCTAGGAGCCTATAAAGCTAAAAGTAGCTCTAATAAAAAAAAAAAGACATTTTTTCTGATATGCTACAAAATCCCTGATCTATTCCTCTTCCTTTTCTTTAGGCAACTAGGAAAACAAAGCAGGAGGCACCTCAATATTCAATCAAATAGTGGTTGCAAAATTAGGTGCTAAAATCAATAAGAAAATAAAGACTACTTCAATGATCTAAACTTGTGTCCTCAAATATCTAATTTAATTTTTGTTAACTCAAAGAAAACTGGACAACTCCTAATATACTAACATGAAATCAAGTCAAATAAGGCACAGCTTTGGCCTTGATTTGCATTTATTTTCCTAATTTAGCCAGAGTTTTTATTCATTTTTTTATTTTAAGGAGCTATAGTATCTAAAGTGTATGAAGAAAGGAGGATTTTTCCAATTAATCTAATTTTTCTAATGTGATTAAAATATTTTAATGACTGCATTTCTTTGTTAATTTTAACACATTTTTACCTGCTACTCCTCATCTCAGGAAAGCATGTCTAAGCAAGTATGCACTTACATGTGTACTGAAGGGTCCTCCTGAAGTGGAACAGATACTACCACATACCTAACTGCTTTCCTAATATAGAATTTTACAGCTGAAGTACCAGGTAGTGTTTGAAATTCACAAATTCCAGTGCTTGAAATTCATAGAAAACTGAGCTGAGCTGCTACTTTATGACTCTAGGAAGTGCAGTTCCACATTTTTAAATATGCTTATTTTTCAGAATTGTGACTTGAATGGAATATCATCACTTTCTTTGATTTACAATACAGTTGAATCAAACACTTTCTCAATATTTGGTTTTCTGTGATCAGAATCTGTTATATCTGTTAAGGTGCTACTAATCACAATTTTCAGAAAATACATAGGGACACTACTCAATTTGAACAATCACAGCAACAGACTTGAAAAATCCCAGCAACAAAGTGGAAACTGCTTACTTTTCATTCTGCTTGATGTGGTCAAGGAAAATGTTTCAAGGACCTAATTTTACTGATGTATAATGGATCATTATAATTTTGTTCAGTTTCTGATATGATCTACTTATTGTGATACTTTTTTGGCACCTTCTGCCATATGTTTGATCAGCGTTTAACTTCTTTTGGTTTGCATCTATCTTGAACTGCTAATACAAGCCCTGCTTCTCCAGGGAATAAATATGCCTTCAGTGGTCATACCTTAGGCAACTGCAAAGGTTTGTGATTACTCAGACAGTTTCATCAATGCCTATGGAGCCCGCACAAAAAGTTATGGAAGTTAACAAGCTGATTCTACCAGAATTTAGAAAACAGTGAATTAAACATTTTACCTTGCCATGGTTCTTTAAATTCAGTGACATAGTAAATCTTCAAATATTTTTCTTGGGTGGATTCTTCCTTAAAAATTTTATTCATAAGTAAAAAGGGTTCTTCTATGTCAGTCTGAGAGCAGGGATTTGAACTTGGAATAACTTCCATTAATTCATGACTAATGTGGAGCTCTACAGAGGAGATAGGTTTCCTAAAAAACAGAAAAAAAATCTGACACTTAAGCTGTTGTAAAAGTAACGTCATAACTTTCCTGACTTCTCAGTGTATCAACAGCACTCATAAAGATACTCTAAGAACCCTGACAATCATTGTATTCACTGAAGAAGACTAGAAATTGCAGAGCTGCTGTCACTCTCCACTGGATCCACAGTTCAATTACATGTTCAATTCTTTCCCAAGAAAAAACCCTTTAAGTTTACATCCAGCATTAAATTCAACAAAAGGATAACGGCTGGAAAGAGCATCAAATCTATTGATGTCATAGCATTTAGAGCAAAACTTTAAATGTATACTTTTTGTAGTGATCTGGCTGAGCTGGAGCCCATTTCCCCAAAGCAGCCCTCACAGTGCTATGCTTTGCATCGGTATCTAGAAAAGTTTTGATAACACATCAGTGTTTTGGTGCTGCTGAGCAGCACTGGCACAGCATCAGCATTGTCTCTCAACATCCCTTCCCCTCCCTACATTGTGGGTAGGATCCTGGGAGGGGACAAAACCAGGCCAGCTGACCCAAACTAACCAAAGGCATATTCCAGGCCATATGACATCAGCTCAGATATAAAATCTAAGGGAAGGAGGAGTGAGGGGTGCATTCATTATTTACAGTGCTTGCTTTCTGAGCAACTGCTATGTGTGCTGAAGCCCTGCTTCCCAGGAAGTGGCTGGACATCACTCACTAATGGGAAGTAGAGAATAAATCTTGTTATTTTCCTCTTTGCTTGTGAGACTGTAAACTTCCACTTTTGCTTTAATAAACAGTCTCATCTCAACCTACGAGTCATTTTCCATTTTATTCCGTCTCCCCTGTCCAGCTGGGAAGTGATAGAGTGGTTTGGTGGGCACCTGGTGTCCAACCAAGGTCAACCCACCACACTTGTGTTTCAAAAACCATGAAGAAATTGCAAGTAATAGCATTAGGAAAAAGATAGGATAAGTGAAGAAACAAACTCACTTCAATTTCCTGTCACTTTTCATATTAATCTCAATATTACTATTATTTCTTTAGGAAAAGAAAAACCAACCCCTGTTAGACACAAATAAATAGCAAAATCTTTTGACTGCAGAAAAAACCCAACCATCGTAGTCCTGAGCTAAATGTGCATCTGGACAAAAAGGTTGTAATTGTTAAAAAATTAAAATATGTATTAGTGTTCTGTTATCCACATAAATTGACTGCAACAACACAATGGCTCTAATTGATGAGCGCTGACATTTCTGAAGAACCTAAATAAGCTCATCTACACTCACTGAACTTATTATTCTCATTTCGGACAATGGATTTCTCAACTGTGTGCATCCTATTGATTCATGCATGTTTTTAATAATACATTGCATTGCACCATCTTGCTATTTGCTAGTCCTCTAAAGGTAATTCTCAGATGAGTGCACCTCTGAATTTTGGTATAGGCCTTCATGTGTAGACAGCAAGACTTAGGAATCTCTGCTACACATCTTTAAAAAAATCAACTATTTCACAACATTTTGAGTATAGCTTAAAAGTTAATTTTGAAACTCCAGGTAGCATAGTTCACATGCAATAACCATCCAAACTTTCATATGGCATAAGCCTTTGAAAATCCTCGAACCTTAAAAACACTGCCCAGTTACATGTGGGTCAACTTCACTGAAATTAGTGGATTTCACTGTAGTTTTATAGATAGAATTCACTATAGTTTTATAGACAGAATATACCTAAGTGGAGTTGCTGATTTGAGACTACATGGGCCATCTTTTCCAAAGTCAAACCCTTAGTAAGGTTGTTCTGGAAAGCAGTAAATATTTTAAATGCAGACTACTCTAAGTATGGAAACATATGTTTAAGTCACACTTGTATTATGCTTGTACAGTGTTTTGAACACAGAAAGAACTACATTAATTTAGCTTCAATTAGATCTTTACATTATGAAGCAAAACTTTCAGCAATATCTTTGAAATATGGACAGTTGTGTTTCATCATCAAAATAAGCATAACTATTAAGTACATGCGATATAGCCAATAAGGAGGTTTATCTAATTAAGTAATTTGGCAATTTCTAGGAATTACAGACTCACTTCCTTATCTCCTTTACTGCTAGGTGTCCTCTCACACCTGCTTAGGCAGCCAGTATCTTCTTCTCAATGTTTTTCTCCTCCTCAGTGTTTTTCTCTCACTTGTTTCTTGTGCTCTTCTTATTTCTCAGCCTCTCCAAGGAGACAGTAGGCTCCCTGACACTTTGAACCAATTTTTGCTAATATATCAAGCCAGTTCACTGACCAATTTGATCAGTCATTCATGCTTACATTCCTGAATGGCTTACAAGAAGAGACACTTTAAAAAATCACAAGCCCCAAACCCTCAAGTTGACAAGCTTATTTCAAAATATCATTTCCCTATCCTAGTTACCTGAACATTTAGACACATAGAAAAGCATAAAAATTCTACACAAAATCCCTACTTAGTAGTAAAAGCTTATGCCTACTGTGAAAACAGAACAAAGTCTCAAAAAATCTCAAAAGCCTCAAAATCTACTGAGCAGAGTCTTAGAACAGACTGTATTGAATTGTATGATAAGCAATCCAAGGACACTGAACTCAACCGTATTACACAGCAGCACATCCGGGACATCCTTTGATAAATTATTATGTCAAACCACAAGTAAGTGTAGAATCTTTAAACCAGATAATTATATTTTTTTTGTACAACTCCAGGAGTATAGTTCTCCTATGAGTCATACCCAGCAGTGAACAATGTACTCCAGAAAAAATGCCTACCATTGCTTGAAACGACAAAAGCAGAACATTTTAGTGCTTGTTCCTAATAATTTTTGAAAAGATTCTGGCATCTTATTTCCTTTCATCTGTTGCTTTTGACTATTAGAAAGAAATTAGTGTTATCTATGAATTTACCTGTTACACTACTCACTCCCTGTTCCTTGCTAAGAATACATCTATTGAAAAACATTTACTGTAGGTCACTTTTCAGCTATCCAAAACAAACCATCTACTGTATTCATTGCACACTTTTTATATATTTTATTGTATGTTTATGTCTCGCTTTGCAAATACTCATAACGATTTGTGATGGATTATGTGTACTATTACTGCTTAGTCCTACCCCCAGGAAAACCACTATCATAAAACACCTAAGAATTTAGATTCTCTTTCCTTACATTAAACAAAATGCAAAGCACTTGAAGAATCTGAAGCAAATACACGCCCTTTCCTCCTAAGTTTAACTCCCTGCTCCTTATTTGCCTGTCTCAGTTCAAGCAATTTTTCACTGGTACAGAGACCTAGTCCACTTTGGTTTACAATATTGTGGTAGTTTGGTCTGGGCCTTCCTTGGTGACCAGTTTGTAACAAAGGAAGGGCCCAGATTTACCCAGTATTCCCTAAGATTTTTACATAAGCCAGACTATAAGAAGAAAGGAGGGAAGGCCTTTGCTCTCTTTCCTTCCGGCGGCTTGGAGGTGCAGGTTCCCTGCTGTTGAGTCTGCCGTGTTGGGGAGCGAGGCCTGGTGAGTCCTTGTCGACCTTGGGAGACGGAGGTTGTCGGCGATCGTTCCAGAGCAACTCTTGGCTCTCCCAAGGAGAGTAGTGAGATATTTCTTTGCTAACTCTTTTAGTTGCTAGATATTGGGCCACTAATTGGGATATATATATGTATTTTATTTTGGTTTTGTTCCTTTTCCCTTCCCCCTTCCCTTTCCCTTGTGAAACTGTATATAACTGTAATATAAGTGTAAATATATTTATATTATATTTATATATATTGCTTTAGCTGTCTCTCTCTCGTTTCGGTTTTCTTGGTTGTTTTTTTTTCCCTCTTCTCCCTGAGGTTTGGAGGGGAGGGGGGGACTTCTTGTGGTAAGGTTTGGAGACTTGGCAGGGAGCCAGCTTCAAACCCTATCGTCTCAAATGAAATCATCTCAAATTTTCTGTAGCTGTTACCTACCATGTGTGCTGATTTCCTGCGTTAATTATTTAGATGTTATAACTAACTTAAGTGCTAAAACAACAGGTAAATGTTGTTTGGTCTGACAAAGTTCTTAATTCTTGGCATTTAATACTCCTTGAGATGGCATCTATCTGACTTCTCAAGTGCTCACTGTTGATATCTAAATCACACTGCATCTTTATAACAAGTTCTTCAGGATCTGCTTTTTCTTTTAGTATTGCTAGTCTAGACAATGTCTTGGGTAACATCTTTGCATGAGTTTTGCAGCATCCTCATAATATTTATCTCACTCTCTGAAGGTGCAAAGATGATTATATCACATATAATAGTCTTATTTTTTTCTGAAGATACAGAATGTAATTTCAATTGTATTTCAGTGCACCGAGTTAAACAGACATCCACATCATTTTCTGCACAGCCTTAATCCACTCTATGAGCATGACCATTTCTGTGACATGAATGAGCAGAGGGCTATGCCCAATTAGAATATAGCAAGGAAATTAAAGACTATCATATTGAAATCACAGAAGAGTGCCATTGTAAGGTACTGGGAAGCCTGGCACTGGCATTTTCTGTAAATGATTATTTAATTCTTCAATCGTAAGTTTTCCTTATAACCAGTTTTTTAAAGCAGATTTGAAGATAACAGAGATTTTAGGTAGCACTGTAAAAGCACAAATGTAATTTCTCTGTTTCTTTCACACTGGTGATTGAAAGCAGAAATACACACAATTTATTGGTTTTTGTAGAACCATAATCCAGCTAATATATGCTGGAAAGATCTGTTGCAAGTCTGTTTTTAAAACTAACTCAGTTTCAGAGTTCATTTGATACTTTTGACTTTGTATATAACATTTTAAAATAAATACATCTATATTTAATTGCTATAATATAAGCTTGACTTTTTATAGCTGCCTTTTACACCTTTTCAAAGATTTATAAATACCCTTCTTTGAACAGCTTCATCTACAGTTACAAGAGATAACAGTCTCAGAGAGGAGGGGGCAAAAGGTCCTTGTGATTTGTCTTCATATTCATTAACAGTTTGCAGAGACTTTCTCCAATGTCGTAAATAGATTATACAACCATTAAAAAAATTATATGAAGAAGCAGCAAACTCCATAAAACACAATACTACTTTTAGTGAAAAAGCCATCTTTAAGCTATTTGCTACAGTGTACATCTCCAGCACACTGTACACTTGCTACTGTCAGAAAACATTTCCATATTCTGTTATCATCATTAGCTTATGGTTCACAAAGTACCTGAATGATATCAAAGAAATCACAAATGTTTTTAACTTAAGGTTACTGACTTTTCCAGGAAATCCTCCACAGGTAAACTTTTCTTCCATTGATCCAATACCGAAATAGTGATCATGTTCTGTGTTGTAGTAACTGAGACAAAAAAGAGAGAAAGAGAATCACATAGAAAATTTTAAAATTTATTTTTATTTCTTGATCAAACCATTGCAGAGGCTAATCAAACTTCATACAAGACGCATAGAAGAAACAACACTTTTGGTTTCCGTTAGCAAAAGTAATGCAAATACATCAGAAAGATGTGAATACTTTCATACATGTTTACCTTTGTCATTGGAAACCCTCATTTTTTTCCCCATCTCATAACCTCAGCATCATCTTTTGAACCTCTCCCAGCTTATCAGACTTAGTATTTCACTTATCTCTGATCACTGATATTCTTCCATAACAACTTCTCTGGACAGAAACTTTTCCAGAGGTCTCTACAGACTAATCAAATATCACCCTCATTTATGGTGCCATACACAAATAAATATCCATTACCCATTTGTTTCTACTTGAATATGTTCTACCTTCAAGAGATATATGAACTGACTTCAGGAAATTATTTTTTTTTAACCAGTCATCATATTATGGACAAACAAAAGCTTTTCCTTTAATCCACAGTAAATCTAAATTAAAATTTAAGGGTTATATAACCTACCTCTAGTCCATGGCTTCCTATACTTATCATCAGTGAAGAGTCCTGTGAGATGATACTTTTCATCTTGATATAAACAGGGAGGAAAGCAAAGTGATAATCTCCAGATGGAAAACTTCTGCCTTGCCATGCTCTGCACAAAAAAAGACATATGCTAAAATTATGAGAGACAGGCCCATTCTTTTTGTGAACCTCTTCAAACATTCCCACTGTTTTCAGGTGTTTTCTCCTATAACAGGATTTTTTATGCTTAAACCTTATTATTTCTGTAATACTGACACAGTCCAAACTAAGAGAAAGTATTAACATTTACCTGACTAGCTATTTAAATATTAATCTACACCTCGGCATTTGCAAACCTGCACATATGCTTAGCTACACTTTAACTAAACTTTGTATGTGCAATTAGAAGTGCTCATCTTAATACTTGCAACGGTCTCCTAAATGGACACATGATCAGAAACAATTTAAAATCATTCCTACTATTGCTGTTTCAAGTACTTTTAATATTCTAAAGCTTCTCATCTTTCATGCGCTGTTAGGAGCTAACAAAAGCCCTTTTAAGTCCTTTCATTTTCACTAAAAACAGGAGTATAAGGTAGTAATCAATCGAATTCTAGAATTAAATAGTCAATGTGGCAACTTCAGTAACTCTTCACTGAGGACCAAGTTCAATAAACTATCTAAGAGTTCTTTTGTCACAGAAGTGTGACAGTACTGCATGAATAGCACAGAACCACAGAACAAGCAGTTAGTTCGGGAAGCAGAGAGAAATCATTTTTACACAGGGTTTTGTATTTAACAAGTTTATAGCTTAGAAAGAAGTTGTCCTTAAAAACTGTGGGGTGTAAAAAGCATACTGGAAGAGGTAACTAGCTATAGATATGTGGGAGAACACAATGAATGAGACTAGTAACTTCTCTCTAGGTCTAAGTCCATTGCTTCACTTCAGCTGTGTTGCTTCAGTCCAAGAAATGTCCACCCATTTTGGCATATGCTGTCAAGCCAATTATAGCTTGTAGTGTTAGACATCCCAGAAGACAAACTAGAAATATTTCACTGACTTGGACTGCATCCAGAACTACCATGCTGTTGGTGTACTTTCCAAACCTTCCTGTATAAGCAGAAAGTTGGTGGAGAAAATAAAAGATGTGGGAAGCAATGAAAACAAATACTGTCACTTCACCAGTACAAATCCTTTTTCCATGTCAGTTTAATCCTCTGTGGGATAGTTACATTCTGTAAATGCTAGTTAATTTTAACAAAAAAGGCAAAAACTACTGCCATCATAGCATCTTTTCCTTAGAACACTCTTGTAAAAAAACAGATCCAACCCAATGAGGTTCCCTCTGCGTAAGTCAAAGCATGGCATTTTCCCAGTGATCTCTTCTACAAATTCTGAAGAAAGAAGACAGAGTCAGACAGTTACAGAGCTGGACTTAGGTCTTCTACATGTTACTGGCTGTACATCAGTTTAAGTAATCGGTATTGAAGTTACTTCTGAAACAGCTGCATCTATCACAAAATAAAATTTATTTCCTGATAGAGATCACAGGAACAGAAAGAGCTGATGATAACCCCTCTTTGATTAAAGCAAACTGTCACAATTGTGACATAAGAGCTCTTAAAATACTCTTAGGTTAAAGGAGAATGACATGGTACTGTAGAAGTAGAAGCTACCAAACAAAAAATATAAACAATAACACAACAGAGATCAGAAAGAAATTTTAAGCACCAGTATGTAGTTTTACAGAAGGTAACTTTAGCTAAAGTTGTTTTCTGTCCATGATGTTTGTGAAGTGGAACAAATACACCCAAGGGCTATCATCACAGGTAACAGCCATAAACCAGGAAAATTGTTCTAAGTGTAAAGGTTAAGATGAACTAGTTCATTTTATAAAGTCTGATAACACACAACCTTTCTTGCCTGTCTCAAATATATAAAAGTGTTTTTCAAGACCATTATTTATGGTTATGGCATTTAATCAACACATGTTTACCCCTGTTTCTCACGGAACTGCAGAGGTCCCCACAAATTTCTGTTCAAACTGTAAGATGTTATGTGCATTTTTATAGTTCCACACAGCTTGCATGCATTATCAGTTTATAATATTAGAAAACCTTGAACTTGTAAGACGACTTTGTGATCACACCTACAACACTCGGTGCCATGAAGTACCTAACTCTTGCATCTCTCATGACTGAAAAGGTTCCTTTCTTCAAAGATACACTTCTAAAGAGCAGCTGGAAAAACTGTATCTGGAATTGATATAAATGCATAACAAGTACATTAAGAGCAGGATTCCACATCCAGTTGAGTCAGATGTGGGCAGGAATCAGTTTGATATAAGCTCATCAAATTCCAGGATTTCCTAAGGATTGGAAGCTTTAGTCAAGTGCATTTGATACAGGAAAAATCAATATAACTTCCTCTAGAGAGTAGAAGCTAAGCACAAGAGTGGAACAAGAAGCTGTCGTTCAGCATGGCATATCCCTTGCACAGCCAGATCTGTAACACCTTTAAATGTGTGATCACATCCATTAATCCCTCCTGGTAGCATTACAGAGGAAGATTCACACTGTTCCAGAGCAGCCAGTCGGAAGGTCACTCAGCATTTCCCTAATAACAGTTTTCATTTGTCCTGCTGTCAGCACTGTCCTCATCCTCAAAACTCAGGCAAGAAAAACCATGTAGTTCTTCCCTTTCGCACGCAGGCCACAACATGTTGTGCTAATACATCTATTTTTTTTGGTAGAAAATATGAAAACATCTGAAGATCAAACTGAATGGAACTACTGCAAGAAGGTTTACACACAAACACTGAATGACAGACTGCATACAGCTGGAATTACAACAGAAAAAGTTTTGGTTTCTATAATCTAAGAAAACAGTAGGCACACACACAGGTACAATATGGAACAGTTCCTGCACTCTAAGAAAAGGGATGTGGGCAGTGGTCCATAACATGGGTCCCAGTATAACTGCAAGTACTATTGCTGGACCACTTCCCAGGCTGCAAATCTCCATCTGTATACCAGGAGTGCTTGTGTGTGTCCTCGTACTCTCCCTGTACTCTTAAAGGCATCATGTCTTGTTACCTTATTCTTCTGCTCACATACTAGAAATAACCCCCTCTCGGCAAAGCACCCCTCTGTGAGAGGAGTCTTCTATTTGGCCCGTAGCTTTTCTATGAAAACTTAAATAGTAAAAAGTAAAACCCCAATTATGACAGTGTGCCTCAGGAATAAGCACTTGGCAACATAACAGATGGAGACAGGAAGGAAAACAAGACTTCACAAGGTTTCTAATCTTAACTGATCAAAACATGTAAAGCCAAAATATTCATTGTAGGTGTGAAAAGACATCTGCTTTCCACGAATTTAAGCTAAAACATTACAAAAACTCTTCCCTACAATCATTAGGGAATACAGCATTGTGTATAACTATCCCAATACACACTAAAGGAGATGGAAAATTGGATTAGTTCTCTGGAAAGCAATTAATTTATTTTAATGCATTAGAACCACAGTATTCTCCGAAGAAAGCAGGAAACTTATAAGTGCATTATAAGTAAACTTGCAACATACACTAAAAATAATGGATGCTCGTTAGTTTTGGCAAAATTGTACTTCAATTTTTTATTAAAAAACCCTGTAATCACTTCACTTGTTATCCCAGCAAGTGTAGCACAACAACCTCTCTGTAAGAGAATTCCTAAGAAAGTAGTTCTTGATATCTTTATTAACGTGCACTTACTCTGTTCTTCAGTTACTGCTATATTTCGTTCTGACTAATAAGAGAAATAATAAAATTATACCTCATATAAGTAGTCTGTCGAGTGATACTGTAAAGCTGCAAACATCTTGTTTTCTGATGTTTTCAACACTCCAATTGTCTGGAAGATATACAGAATATGGATTAGTTAAAAATTTTTTATATCCTCTAAAAATGTTGAAAGAGAAGGTTGAAATTCAGGTTCAACAAGAATAGCTTTGTCATTTCTAGCATATGCACCCTGGACTGAATTTCCTATAAAAGAAGGCTACACAAAGCATTCAGTGTTATTCCTTTGGAAGGATGTAGCAGACCAACTACAGACCATGCACACTTGATTTCTATCAGAAGGAACTGGGCTTTTGGTTTTTATTTCAGTTATGCCTCTGGCTGTTTATTCCACAGAAAGCCTTTTAAGGCATTAAGTGAAAGTAAGTAATACAAATTACCTCCCTTAAGCAATAATTTTGAGAAATTATCTGAATCAACGAATTTTTATGGATTATAAATTAGCTTTTAAAGACAGTAGTCTGGCTACCTCCTAAACTATTAACTTTTCACTGGCTCGTGTATTTTGGAGGGGATTTTTTCCTCCCTTTTTTCGGTTTTACAAAGGTGAAGGAGATTACAGGTATAAACTACAGGAGTATAGATTAGCTGGGAGCACAACGCCCTGTTGGAACACCAGGTCTCTAAGTAAACTGATGCTTCTGATGGGAACCAAGAGTGAAACAAAAACTAAACAAGGACAGAGACACAGTGTGAGTGCAAAACAGACTATATCACAGCTCAGGTGTGCATAGGGTCAGAGAATATTCGTTCTTAATTAAAATTAGGTACAAGAGCCAAAGCTAAAGTAACGTAATTCTATCAAAAAAGTGTATGATGTAAATGAAATGTAACCAACCTTATGTAGGGCCATAAGGGAAACTTGTGACAGAAGGCTGTCTTCATATATGTATCAGTAAGTATCAGTAACATACCAAGAGGCTAAAATTGCCTATGTAAAAAATTTGGAAACACCAAATTCAGGTATGGAAACTGGAACCCATGGAGGAAAAAATAATTAGGGGCTAGTTGCTTACTTGAGAGGAGTCTGGGCAGAGAAAGGAAGTGCAGGAGAGGTAAAAAGGTAGGTTCAGGCAAGAAAATGGAATAGAGAATAAGGTATAAAATCATATAGAGAACAAAGTAGAGGGGAACCTTCTGATGGAAGGAGTACGGACAGTTAGAAACAGTGGATTAAAACCATGGGATGCTAAAGAAAACCCTTTGCACAATCTGCTGGACCCTCCATCAGTTGCACATCCAACGGACTTGATGCGGAAGAATGGAGCAAGAAGGGATGGGTTTGCAAGGAGGGAATGGATCAGTACCCCACCACTGAGTGCCGAAGGGCAGGGAACAGAACTGCGAATTCACAGCATTGATGTGTATCACTGACAAAAATTTCCTCATAGCAATAAAATCATACATTCACGCAATATAGTAGCTATAAAATAGCAACTACTACTGCCAGGGAACTAATTTCAATTAACACAGCTAAAAGTAGTGAACTGCTCAGCAGTCACTTTAGGTACCGCTAGTTTCTTAAGGGCATGTCAATCACTGAACATTAAAACCACCTCAATCGGGTAAGTTCCGGATTACCAATTCAAACCCGAAAGACTGTGGCCTAGAAATACTAGTCTGTGGAGAAAAAAGGAAGTCCTCGATTTTTTTTAAGGCAAGACGAGCTTGCCTTAGAAGGATACGACCCAGTTTCATTCTCCAAGAACTCGAGGGAATACCTCTCTCAGTGAAACACGCAGTCCGAGGTACTTCCGCCAGCACCAAGTGTTTTTAAATCTGCAGCAGTACGGACGGAAATTACTCCTGTGTAACCCACCCCCGCTTAGCTCCCGACGCCCACACGGCCGCCCTTCCCCTCAGCGCCGCCGCGCCTCCGCCCCGCCCGCGCGGGACGGCGAACGCGCCCCTCCGATTGGCTGCCGCCCGGAGTTCGCCCCTCTGATTGGCTGCCGCCCCTCCCGCCCTGTGCGGCCCAGCCACCTCCCCGCCGTCCCTTCCCTCAGGAGCGGCTCGTACCTGGCGGCTGCGTGTATAGGAGAGGAGCTCCTTGGAGTTAGCTGGTAGGAAAACTTACCCGGTCTGCAAAGCCGAACACATTTTTAAAGCAGTACATGCACAAGTAAATGCAGCTAAGTAACTACATTCCATCCTTTGTTCCCCCGGTAGCTGCATGCAAGGGAGAAGACGCGACAAGGAAGGGACCGGGTTGGCTCCTGAAGTGTAACTGAACTGCTGACCCGCTGCCCGCTACCTGGGGAATGGAAATGGAACGAGGCCACAGTTTAGCATCCAGATATGCTTCCGCTTCACAAGCTCGGCAAACGTGTGAAATGTCAGTGTCTGCAGAAAGCTATCGGCTTAGGGAAAAGCGCCATTTTTTTATTTAGTTAGTTTTAATTGGCTGCATAAATTTCTCCCATAACCCTCAAGCTGCTGTCTGTTGAACTGTGTTTCTCAGAAGGCAGTCTGGTGTCAGATTTTTGATGTGTCCAGACTCTGACTAATTCCTGGTCTGGCAAAAATTTCAAGAGTATTTGTGAGAACACTCCATCCCCCCACCTTCATCCCACACCATCCGACTGTATACACATCCTAGCTGTAACTAGGCTCCAGATGTGGTTCTGCTTGCTGAAATGGCACCTTATTACGGAGGTTGGCACCACAAAGCCATTGTATTGCCTGTCTGTGCCTCCTCCTCCTTTTACTGTAGATGTGGATACCCACAGAGTACGTGTTGGAAGTGCAGAAACCTTTGGCAATGCTGCAGCAGGTGCATTGAGCCGCTTGCTGTAATAGTTTTGGGAACCTGGAAAAATGTGGCTTCTCCAAGAACTCCTTCCAGGTTGAGTTCCACACTAGGATAGGTTTTTCTGTGGAAAACAAAAATTTACACTTTTCACTCTGGTTCCAGTAACTCCACCAGTATTTGTACATCCCAGTCAGTGAAAAAGTTAAGTAAAAAGTGTACAACAGATGCTGTCTTTACCACTACAAAGTACTTTTTCTTTTAACTGAGGGGATGGTTCTAGCCCAATCACAGGCATATTGCCAATGTTTTCCAGACAGTTGTTCCTATGAAGAAAGCAAATGCCAATACTGAAAAGTTTTTGTGGTATTTTTATATTTAATATGTATTTCTACTCTGCTCTCTAAGAATTGGGAGACAAATTGTTAGGTGAAATAGACACAATGCAAAAAACACAGGAACTTCCAATTAAAATGCTTCAGAGTTGCTCCTTTCCACTTGGAATATACAGAAATGCATGTTTTTATCCCAAACGAGGAAACAAGGTAGCAGTATACTACGGGTATTGAAGAGGATGTTATAGCACAGAAAAGCCCCCAATAGCAAACAGTTTTGTGGAAGATGTTAAAAGTACCTTAATTACATAGCTACTGCAGGAAACAATGCAGCAACACATACTGTGATTAAAGGAAGAGAGGTATCCTAGGCAGATTATATCTCTAGTTTTTCTTCATCAGGTCCAGGAGTTAATGGGTTACATACCCTGCAGAAGACATTTGGCAGCAATTCATGGTTACCTCCATGACATGATTTTCCTCAGATACACCTGTAAAACTACAACTTTTAGAAGTTGTATGGGAGTTGTTTGTATGGCTGAAAAAAAGTGCTAAGTAGTATATACTAGGTACATTACTGCTGTTAAAATTAAGGTCATCAATGGAAGAAGGCCTTCCATCACACTACTGAGCACAGGCAAAGCCTGTGTCTGTGCGAGATGCCAGTGGGGTACGTTAAGTCAAAGTGGTTGCTTTGGTACTCACCAGGCAAGCACATGTTTTCCTCAAGACTACAGTGCTGCATCTTAGTTCAATTTCTTGTGAGTGAAGCTGAAAATGCTGTGGATGAGAATAACATGAATGCCAATTAGTACCGTGAGGGTAAGGAATATGACGAGAGATGAGATGAATTTTGGCAGCTGCATGTGTTTCTCATCCTCATCTTTTACATTTGGGCTGCTCTTTAGATCAGAAATGATGGTGAAATATTTGATGTTAGCCCTGATCAATGCTATGGAATGCTGTGCTCTTTCCTCAGCTGTCAGAATTTATCACTGAAATCCAGAAAGAGTTTTTGAGAATATTTTGGAGGGTTGAGCACAAGATTACTATGAATATAGTCATAATCTCAACTATATCTCATTGTTCTCTAGAAAACAGTCTGTTGTGAGCTGGATCACAGCTGATCCAGTTCAGCTAAACTGTGTACAAGTGGCACCAACTCTTGTTAACTGAGAATTTGGTTTCCTTTTTTTTCCCTCATTTCATGTTAGTCATAGAAATCAGAACTGAAGCTTCTGCTGCAGTAGTGTAGTGTAGAGCCTGGCAGAGCTGGCCATGTTGTCCCTGTCAATCTGGGACTGTGCTGAGGGTGCATCCCCACCTGGCACAGAAACCTGACTGGGTGGTGCCATCACTGCTGAAGGAACTGCAGATGAAGACAATAGAACATCCCTTTTTTATGCTGCTTGCATGTGCCTGCAGCAGAGTCCTCTCCAATCTACCATGGCAAACAGGCTTTAACTCACCTGTCTTTTCCTTCCTGCTCCCTCTACCTCATCCTGGCACTGCCCTAGCTCAGAGAGCTCAGCTGAGCTGCTGCAGAGGATGAGGAGGCAAACTCAGGTGGATGAGGAGGTTTATACAGGTGAACTAAAACAGCTGCAAGGAACACCCGAAGCCTCCTGATAAGTGGAATACAAGTGCAGCTGCTTGCTACCAGCAGCATGCAGGAAGCCTTACACCATCCTCTGTTCACCTTCTCTAGATTCAGCTCATGCCAGGACTCCATCCAATCCCTGTCCCTCTCCCGCTGTTCCTCCTTGGCTCTCAGCTCATGGCCCCACATCTTCAGCTCTGCCTGCTCCTATGAAGTGCGTGGGGGAAACCAATGCATTACCTGCTCTGTTCTGGACACTGTCTCACTTATGGCTTTCCCAAGTCACGAAGGAGATCTGTTCCTGCTGAACTTCTCATGTGGGCCAGTTTGGGGTGCAGAGCAGCACCGCCAGGTACTTGAGCAGTGGCCTCATTCATCCATCCTTGCCAGAGCTGCAACTGTACAGACATGCACATTGCACATGCACATGCACGTCCTGTAAAGGATGGAGCCCCTTGCCATGTTGCACACCCAAAACATGCTCAAGGCATGGCACTTTGTCAGCAGTGGAGAAACTCAACCCAAATAGTTATTTTCCACCTGATAAAAAGGCAACTCTGCTGTCTGTGCCACATGCTCCCTCTGGGCAGCCCCAGGCTGGAGCAGAACTGACTCTGGATATGTCCCCACGGCACAGAGAAACTTTGATTAGCCTACCTTGGGGGTTTCCCCTCACTAGAGTTACAATGGAGGCATCTGTGCCTGCTGTGGCTGCCCAAACTCCTCACTGGCAGAGGACAGAGGCAGAGATGGCTGATGCTTCAGTCAACATCTAAGACAGGCTGGTGGAGACTGTTCCTGGAACAGCCTGGTTCTCACCACCCATAGTGATGTCTCTGTCCTAAATGCCTGAAGGCAGTGCTGAATGTCTCTTCTGTGTGCAGCACCCACCCCTGAGCCTGCCAGTCGGTGCTAGAGGCCACGGGAAGGGGCTCTGCTGTGGCACCTTGGCCAGTCTCATAATTCTGGAGTCCATCTGCTGAGATTTCTCCATCTCATGCCCTAGCTGCTCCTTCAGCAGCCTCTCTCTGGTATGAAATTCAGCCCACTCAGCCACTAGCTTCCCTTGCTCCTCTGAGAACGGAGATATTTTCTTTCTTTCAGGTACTTTAGTGAATCCGTGTCAGAAAACAAAGTAATGATACATCTTTTGGGTTAACTCTATGAGAAATGGAATAAAACAGTACACATTGCTGATTGTGAAGTAGACACGAAGGGTAGAGTAAAGCATTGCAGTGACTCATCTAATCTGTCTTGGTCAGGTAAATGTGTTTTAAATAAACTAAATCATGTTGAACCATGGAAGTGGCCAACCCTAAGCTGGGTTATATGAACAAGCCAATAACATGAGAAATTGCAGATCCTTACAGGTAGGAAAAACTGCATAATGTATATGTATTTTTTTTGGTCAGCCTTCACCGACGGATACAGCAACAAGATGCCAACATAAAAAATGGCAGAAATGAGAAATACCGTACTTAAAAGCCAGACCAAAATGAAAACCAGAATCACTTGGGACAAGACTGATAGGAGAAGAGGGGTAAATCAAAGCATTAAAGGAGAACATCTTTGGAGCTCTCTTCTAAACATTGATAAAGCCAGACACAAGTAATGTCACTTCATCTCTTACTCTCCTAACAGCTCAATATTTTTTTCACATTTTAGTTAAGATTTTTTTAAAGAAAGGTTGATTTTTATTAGCCCATTTTTTCAACTAAATGCAGTCAGAACATGATGCTCAACACATTTTTTTCAGTGAAAAAATTTATGGACGTATTTACTAAAGTAATAGCTTCAAATGGTCTTGTTTGCATACTTCATTTTGATCTGGCTTATTTTATTTGAAAATGATAGGTGCTGCTTTTTAAAATGTTTGATTTAAATATTTTTTTGTTGTCTCACTGTCTGCTTGAGTGTAAACTGAAATCAAATTTATTATAAAAAACATTTTTTGCCTTTTTTTATGCAAAGCTGTATTTGTCAACTTGTTTAGATAACAGAGTTATTTGTGAATTGAAGTAATTGTTTCTAGTTACTAATTCTTTCAATATACCCGAACTAGCAACACTCATATCTAATTTAAATAATAACTTGTAATAGGAAAAAGGAATCCCTGCTATTTGAACTCCTCAATTTTGTAAGAATTTCTCACTACTCTGTGGTAGCTGAAGAAAATGGGAAAAAAACTTTTAGTATT